GTCCACGAACGAGTCAACACGCGCGTCACGCCATTCCGGCGCGTGGAGTGTGACTTCATCGGCAACTTCAAAGAATTTAAATTGTCCTCTCGCTAAAGATGATAATTTTATAAAAATCCGTGGATTTTTTCCCACCTGGAAGTGATACCGTCGGGATTTCGGATAGCTCTCGAGACCACATTCGACAGGGCATGAATACGGACATTATGTCCAACATGTTTTGGGGTTTGGGATCGCTATCGAATCCAACAGGACAAGTAGTCGTGATGTGACCTTCTCGGTTGCAAGCTGTGTCGTAACAGCCTAGCTGGTTCTGGTGGAGTTAATAGCACAACCACGCTTGAGGTTAGCGTTTGTGGGGGCTGGAGCTGCCGTGTATCCACTTAATGAATATCTGTTTCGAGAGCGCATCCTCGGAAGTTCCCAAAATAGCGTCATTGCCATCGTAGTCGTCTGCTGAAGATTGAAGAACGCTATCTATCAAGCCATCACATTTACCAATCGTCTACCCCACTTGGTGAACTTGGCAGAGGACTTGGCCGTAGTAAAGTTCTCGACAGGGCAAACCATGCAATCCAAAAATTGATTTTCAACATCATTTTGAAATAAATTATTCCCTATACTGCCGTAATTTCAGCTACTAGTACAAAAATCCAGTACCCCATACCGTATGTCAAAGTAATTTATTAGCCTATGTGATCAAAGAAATACGCTGTAGACGTTTTATTTTGAGCGGTAGATACGGGGACAAGATCGTCAGTTTGGATATTCGTAATATATTATTTCAGCTTAAATATCTGAGAATACCACACCCTCATATGCTGTCGTTGGGTCTTTACATTAAATGCTAGTACCGGTTTTAGTAACAAGTGAACGGGCTTCTCGTTAAGATTGATACCAAAGGTAAAAAAAGAGATTGTGGACAGGACATGGCTGTCGATACGTCAGTCCCGTTGTGATACACATTTGAAAGCACATTGCACAGCTTGGCTATATGCACTGTATCCACACCAAACAAATATAATTTAGGTACGCCGCTCACCCTAATTAATCGTGCGACCTATGCACGAGGACCTGTCCTGGTCACGACAAAAACGACCACCAGCACTGAGACTGTACATCAACACTGTAAGTTGCTCGAGCGTCACGTAATATTACTGAGTGGCGCTACCATAGACTTAGGATCACCCCTAATCTCGCACCTACCACTGCACATCTGCCAAGTGGCACCATGACTAATTATAGCCAACCGTAATATTTATAAAATTGAGTATTAACCAGTGACAACATAGCAAGTATGTCAATTGATGCACATGTCCTCGATTCGCTAAAAAGCTGCCGAGCGCAGCGAAGTCGGCCTCCATAAGCTAAAATCGACATTGTGTTGTATACACACTGTATGTGGTCTACACATCGTACTTAAAAGCACCGCTTAAATTTCATTTTGTTCTCATTTTCAACCGCTGCCTGTCTTCGGATTAGTTTGCATTGGCAGGCTTCGCCGACGTGCACACACGTATTAAATGCTCTTATGAGCTGGTAATTGAATTTATAGGACCTGGTGACGCACATTTCATCTTACATAGTCATTTAAGTACTTAAAGCTAGCAAATATGATCTTTTTAAGATTCGTAGTACGTTTTTATTCTTTTTTCTTACAAGATTGCTTTGATAGAACTTTGTTTTAGTTTGTCATTTTTTTGCTTGCATTCTTTTGTTGTAGTAGTACATGTAGCTATTAATTTTCGTTATATACAAATATACAATTTTTATTAATATTAACGACTGACAGCTTTTAAAAAGCTACTATAGTAAGTTCCCTTTACCCACACACACACTACTCCGTCGCCGCGAAAAATTAAACGTTTTCCTTTGTATATGAGCGTAGTGTGCGACCCCTAGAGAACGTGCGCACTTTTCCAATACGATACGTAGCGTATATGCAATGCACTGTAAGCACTGTTTGTGATTGAATTAGCGCGGAGGCACGTGATTAATTAAGAACACGAAACACGGAGGAGCACCGAGACAGGCTAAATACACGATGGGATAGAGGGGGCGACACGAAGAACGGAATGTCATGAACGTTGAAATAGGACTAAATCAATGAAGCACCTTGCGAATTTGAAATGCTCGAATTACAGACGAGCACGCTAATTTTAAAATTTGGAAGGACTAGAGCATGACGGGAGCGTACGGATGACGGGAGGCCATTGAAATAATGACACCCCAACAAGTTGAAAAGCACGGACTCCGAAAGAGCACGCACGTTCGAAGCCACGGTAGAGCATGTAACGGTGAGAGTGCACAGAAACAATTCTCCAACAACACCACGGAAGAACATGGAGCACAGTCAGCCGACCAAACCTGAGCCCGTGGGAGGCCGAACACGGGAAATTAAAAATCATCAATCTTTGGAGCACGATGCCCGGGCAGAACAGGAGCTCACCGATCCACGGAGCGCGACACTACGGTAGCTAACGATTACACAGACGACAGACCAGCCCCGACACCAGAGATAACACGACAGCATGGACGGTGGGTTAGCCACTAAACCATCGAAGAACACGCAGCCACGCGAAATCACCGAGTCACGGAGCACCATATCAGTGTAGAACCTGAGCTTACCGAGCCACAGAGGACAGTAGTACATATAAACACGATTGCACGGATGGCGGACCAGCCATGATAGCGTGATACCGCGGTCGATGACACTTCATCAGGAGATCACGATGCACAAGCGACGGAACAACACGACTGCGTGGAGGCACCAATCCACGGAATAGTACCCTTACTCTAGAGTACTGGCGATGGGAGGCCAACGCCCACGGAAGACTATATACCACGAAACCGGTGCAACCCACGTAAACGTTTGAGAACAGAGAAAAGTTAGCAGCTACGAAAAAACCGTACTAATGAGCATGAACCCAAGCGAGAGAGAGCCCATAACCACTAAGCACGGGTGTGCAGGGAACTACGAAGCCAGGAGGAGCTCGGAACATCGCAGACCATTTAAGAACATACATCCAACCTGTACTACGGGATAACCAAAACGTACCAAACCGCAATATTGGACGGGGCCACATGAGACTATGGAAAGGTAAGTGGCTAAGTACACGAAACCACGACGTACTGGGGTGAACGACGCTCACAAAACACGTGACACCACGAAGCACTTAAATTTGCGGCCACCTCATCTCCAACAAAGAATGCCGCTCCGCCGCGTAGCGGCGGCGGCCGGCTAGTCCTAAACTATCAATGCTAGCACGGTGTCTGTCCGTCCGTCACACGAAACGCTCAGGTTTTTGAGCTTTATCATTGGCTGTCGAGCGGAGCGAAGGCGGCTAAAATTGGTTAAAACTGAATTATGTAGCTCACATCAGTAAATTCATGTGGTTCACAGAGCACATATGCATAGTTTTAATACTACGAAGTATTAATATTTACTATTTTAATCATGCATGTTGCTTTTAACATTTGAGTGCTAAACAGACAGAGCTACTTATTCTCAGATGAAATAGCCCCTAAAGACGCTTACTAAGCTTAGCGTACACGTAGGAATGCGTGTTTTCGAGGCCATACTATAACATACGTAATAGTATGTTGCTAATAGTTCCTGCAAGTTTGACTAAAATAATAACTACAACTGTTTTGTTGTAGAAATATTCATTATTAAATGAGTGTGAGGTAACTGACTGAGCTGGCAAATAGTAATACATGTACAGCAGAAGCTGGCCGTAAGAACAACGCTGTGCTAATAAACGCTGTCGCTTGATCCATAAAAATAAAAAGTTTTAGGTGAACCCATATGTGTTACTGCTGTAAACTAATGTTTTCAAAGAGTTGTTTAGACAGCAAAATCCGATACTACTTAACGGGCGGACGTGTCACCTACAAGGGCGTAGGATACGATTTTAAATGGAGCGGCAAGACAACAACAAAACATGAGAGGTGTTACTTATAGTTGGTTAAGTATACTTCATAAAGAAACGTTAATAAACTTGGAGCCTAAATGACGTTAAGCCATCATGTCATCGTCGCTAAAATATCAAATAAAAAGCACTACCGTCAACATCAACAACAGCAAGGCGTCTTGCGTCACATTATCCAAATACTTTAATCATAACTGACACAGAATCGAGTGTCTAATGACTAATTCTGAATCAGCACAAAATGAACGCTGACTAATATTTTTCATTAATAATACGGATTAGAGGGATACTATTAAAAGGAACTTGATCGTGTGAATTCGAGGGAGACGGGTGAGCGACATACCGGTACATGTACAGTATCAAGAGCAGAAAGTATGCGGTGTTGTTTTACGGAAAGGCTTGCTTTGCTCTTTATAGAGGGGTGCCAAAAAATAAATTGGTACTGCAATTATTGCAATAAGAAAGCACCAATTATCTATTGGAGGCTTTCTGAAGAGGAATTCCAATTATTTATTTTTGCTTCCGTTGAAGCACCAATAATCTATTGACCGGTGCTCAATCAGCTTGTGCCCTCGCTGTGTACCAGTATTGCTGCACCAATAATCTATTTTCTGAGCTGAGGAAGCTCAATAATCTATTTTGGTCTTGCCAGTTCTCTAACCCAATTATTTAATTTCTGCTTTGATTAGCAATAGATAAAAATGCAATATTCGGCATCCCTACGACAAGTCGTCGTAGTATCTTTGCCGTTCAGCTCTACGACGAGCCAAATCGACCGCTCGGATTGATTTCCCATATCGATGTCCAGTAAATCAACCCTTTTTGCGTGTTTGAAGCGTAATTCGATGACACATGTACGGTAAAAATGCCATCCATTTTAGTTTTAAGTTTCATCCGATCATGCTGGATCCAAGCATGAGCCATGGTAGGCTAAAGTATTCATTAAAAAAAAATTGTCGACTCCAATAAAGTATTTACACTTACGACACATTGTTACACCACGGACATCTCTAACAGCTAACTTACATTCAGCTTTGCAGTGAGCTGCAAATTCCCACCCTGACTCGATCAAGGAATCCACAACAGCAACGATCCACCACCAGTACCCGGGAGACCCAGAAATCCCGAACGCCATCGATCGAGGTACAGGGTTTTTCCTCCTAACATCGTCACATTTGATCTCTACGTCACAGTCTTCCCCGCTGGGACGTCCACTTCATCGATTTTATGGCCGCCAGACCTGATATTCACGGTCACATCCTCCGTATCATCGCTTTCAAATTTAACGTCGACACTACCGTCGCCTGCTTTTTTCCAGAAACCTTCAGAATTATTGAAAGCGCGTTGAACAGCTGACAAGCCCAAAGCTTTCGTCGCATCACCATCATCGACTTCGCCGATGTACTCTGTTGGGCCACAAATCGGTTGAAAATACTCGGAAATCGCTCCAGTGGCAGACCACGGGTCCCAAATGGCCCAGAAGCTGAACGCTTTATCCGCTATGTTAAACGCGTACCCCTTGGCTTTAAGGTATGACCCGTTATTGCTTGTTCCCGATTTTATCAGATCATCTACGATCCCTCCGAACGTCTTGCGAAGTTTATCACGAGTGGCGAATGCCGTGGCCTCGTCCGATTCCGCGATCAGATCGCCCATACAATTATTCGTAGCTGTCGGGATATCGTTAAGAACGAGATTTGACTTGCTGACCGCTACACGAATGTCGTCTTCGGACATTTCTGGATTTCGCTTACGATATTCCGCCACCGTCATCCACGTTCGATCCAACACACGCTTCATGTCAAAGCCGCAGGTGGAATCGGACTTCATTGCGGACTTTAGTGACGTGATGTCCTTGGAGCCCAGTGGAGCCAACAAGTCTGTTTGCGTCATGTTCATCATGAAGCCGGTGAATTTCTCCCAACTGGAAAGCATAGCTGCTCCATTGGCCACGACTTCCTTCAACACATACTCTGCGGTCATGAGTACACTGTCGACAAACTTGATCTCGTCAGACGCGGATCTTCCGATGCAATACGACACAGCGATGGGGATATTGACGACGACGTTGTCTGTCTGGTAGAGCATCGCAAGTAGCTTGTCTTGAGGTGTCTGTGGTTCAGTTACCATGATGTTTCGAATATACCTCGCCAATGCCTTGATCAAACCCATCGTGTACTTGGCACATTTAATAACCACTTGGACAGCTAGAGCTAACTTAGAAAGCTTGCCAAAGACGTCGTACGTGATGAGAGACAGAGTCGTCTGAGCCAAAGCTGAGACCTTCGTGACGATTTCGAGCACACAGTCGTCATTCTGTCGGGTACACTCCATCCCACACTGCACAGGGAACGAGTACGGACATTGCGCCCAGCATGTTCCAAGCTTTGCGTTGAATCCCACCGGACACGTCTTCGCGATGTGAGCTTTACGATAACACGCTGTAGTTTTTGACGTGTCGAGCGCTGTGCCTACCCAGTTGACGTACGTTGACTCAACCGTGCTGGTGGCATTAAGAACTCCACCAAATTTTAGAGCCGCGCTCATGGCTTTAGACAACGTATCCGACATTGCGTCGTCGCTCTCTGAACTGTCGTCATCGCTATCAGATGAGTCCTCATCGCTGCCCATCGAATCGTCACTGTCTTTCGAGTCGCTATCGTCACTGTCCATCGAATCCAAAGAATCGTCGCCAACGCCGCTTAATAATGCCCTCAAGGGAGACACTGTCGCTACTGGTGAGTTAATCGTTGTCCAACTACTTGGTGTGCGAGAGCTAGCGGCGTGGAGTGTTGATGAGGACGCTGTTATGCTGTTGATTCCGTATGCTTTCGGCGAGCCTGATACTGTATTTCCACATGATGTACGAACAATAAATGCAGCGAGTATCCTGAGTTTCATGCCTGGCTTCCTGCTATAGCGGCAAAACGAAAAGTGAAGCAGTTGATTGACGCGTGTACTTACCGTCTCTTGTTACGAACAGCGCACATCATTCATCTGCTTGTTGCGACGATAGAAACCCCTACAGGGTAGCTTGACTCAAATCTTTAGTCGCGCGGGCTGATCAGCGGAATTGGGTTAGACGTAGAGGACGTACTGTTTACACCAATAAAAACACGAAAACACCAAAACTATACTATCGGCACCGCTAAAGCACGGCTAGCACAGTAATATCACAAGCATCACCAACTTTTAAGACTGACCACCGCAATAGTACGTCCTGCACCAACCATAATTAAATCGCTAATTTTGCCCAATCCCCAGCCTGATCGTCACAGAAATATCGTCCAACGAGCGCAGTTCCCCGGCGAGGGGGGGGGTTAAGGCAAGATCATTTTCCAGCCAGCCGCATCAAGCTCATTCTTCCAGCTCCTTCATTTTAAAATGACCATTCGACACCCCTGGCAGCTTCTCGCCTCAGCAATGCCATGCGTCCAGGCAGCGAACCTTCTGGATTGTTTCAAGCAGACTAGGGTGGCGAAGAGTGAGCTGGCCCCGTGCTCCGTATGCATGGCCCCTGTCCCGCATCCCATGAGAATTCAGCGCCTGTTTTGCGCGTGCAAGGCTTGCGCTGACGTAACGTCGGCACAAGAGTGTCTGTGGCGAGCCCGGGTCATGTCCTGTCAAGAGCAAGGCTTAGTGACGGTCGAGGAGGCATACACTTATGCCACTCCAGCACGCTCGCCACGCAAGCTGGTGCTGACCCCACCAATGAAGGAGGTGGTGAAGGACTGGGCAGCCCAGGCACTGAAGCCCAAGCGCATCTATAATGCACTTCTTCAGCGTTTCAACCTGACCGAGGCGACTGCGCCCTCTCTATCAACTGTGCAGCGTTTTGCGCATCACCATGTTACGGGACGGCTTGGGGGAAGTGACCTTCTGGACTCCGTACGCAGAAAAATCAAGGACTCAGGGTTTACGGGACACGAAGATGAAGCAGCTCCGTTCACATTCACAAGCCGCAGTGATACAGACGGCAAGCCAATCACTGGCAATGGCAGTGACGCTGATCCGTTTGTGGTCGGTGTTAGCTCGAAGAAACTCCTACGCCGTGCCGACCGTGATCCAGAGTCTTTCATCTTTCACTTGGACACGACCTACAAGCTCACGCAGGTCGGGTATCCAGTTATCGTTGTCGGGATCTCGGACAGGGCAAGACGGTTTCATTTGTTGGCAATATTTATTGTCTCGCAACAGCAGCAACTACACTACACCGAGGTGCTTGCGCTCGTGTATAAGATGTACCAAACCATAGTTGGTAAATTTCTCCGGGTACGCTATGTGATGGGAGATGCTGACGCAGCCCAATGGAACGCGGTGAACGACGTGTTTGGGCAAGGGGGGGAATTTGTTTATCTGATGTGCTACTTTCATGTGCCAAAGAAGGTATACGAGAAAACTCGCTCGTTGGGGTCTGTTGCGGCCTCATCTGTCATGAAATACATTCATGAGCTCCATTTCTCGACGGATGAGGCGGCCTACAACTCGAAGCTAGGAGAAGCTCAAGCGAGATGGTCAAAAACTCCGGAACTGGCGAAATTTTCTTCCTATTTCTCAAAGGTCTATCTAAACGAGAGGGTGTGGCGTTGGCAATGTTTTCATACACCGAGTGGTTTTGCGACAACGAACAATCCATGCGAGACGTACAATGCAGCGATTAAGAGAGATGTCACGCTCCGCAGAAAGCTGAAGGTCGGCGCCCTACTGCCCCAGCTACTTACTCTTTGCCGAAGTGAAGCTGTCACCGCAAGACCATTTGCCGTGTCCCCGGAGCCAGATTCTCGGTTGGTTCGTCGAGCTCGGGCGATGTCGCGGGCGGGCTTGCTTGAGCTACACCACCAGTCTCGGAACAGTATCGCATTTTTGCTAGCTACCACGACTGAGGCCGAGCCTTTGGATACAGTCCGTGTTATTAGCAAGCCGTGCCCGCGTGTACAGGATGAGATTCGCCGACGCAACGTTGAGGACTTACCCGTTACAGCCCGGCTGAGCAAACTGACTGCTGCAATGGAAACGCTTGGTATGCCTTGGAAGGGGTGGCTGATTGACATGAATTCGGGTAAGTGCCCTTGTCCCTTTTCGATGAAGCACGGCTATTGTGTGCACACACTCTACGCGATGGAATGCCGTGGAACTATGGATCTCACTGGACGTCAGACACTTGTCAATCGAGGAATATCCGGTCGCAAAAAGGGACAGAGCTCCCGCGGGCGCCCACGCAATAGTGGTGCGGCACTAGAGATGGAGTAGGATCTAGATTGAAGGAGATTTTAAATGTCTAACGTCTTTGCTTCATAGATCTCGACGGTGCTCAAGTCAGTTTACGTATGCTTATATCATGTCATACTTGTATTCACTTAATTTCCTACATTATTGAGTTCGTTCAGAAATTTCCTTTTGCGTTGCTCTTAAATGCCATGTCTCGCAGAAATTCCGGGGTGCTACCGGCTCACGATATTTAGTCATTGCAGCGATACGAGCTCCCGTGTTCTCTCAATAATCTTTAATGGTTTAGCTTAGTCAGGGATGTGGAATAACTTACCAATTGTCACTACCGCGTCTTTATTACGTAAGACTGGTCATCACGTGAGCCTACCTCAGCTTTCACCTACTTCACTCTTTTAATGATACAGCCAAACATTCCGTCAAATACAGGCACCCTTTGCTGAACGCTAAACGTATCATGCGTTATCGGGGCTACTAGCTAAATAAAAATTTAAGTGATAATATTGACGCTAAACGCAAACTACGCAATGACTTCTTTTACTCTTTCTTCAATTTTGCTCTTTACAAAACCCGCTTCCACATACCTACAAAGTAATCCAGCAAACCCATCACATCAATGATAACAATACTTGTTTGGGCTGCTAGTTATGTGAATACATTCATGAAGTGAACTAATTGGACACGTTACGAAATGTAAAGATGACTCTAGCGTCTTACGTGAAGGTGTCTTTATATTTAGCTGACAAGAAACTTACATATATTATAGCACATCTATATGCAGCGGGGTTGTGGATGTTTTGACGGGGCTGCCACGTCAAGAAATTAAGACGTTGAAGTTGCATACTTTACCACTTCAACGAGTTCCCAACAATAAAAAACGAAAAGATCACACCTAAATTTAGATTATCTAGTATGTTCTTACTGTTGCTCCACCGAATCGCTCGTGTCAGCGTTTGTCCTCTTCGCTGCTCGCATTTTCTTCATTTTGTCCAGTGTGATGCTCTTCTTCGTGCGCCTTTTCAATGACCGAGTAGTCGCTGCATTGCGCGCGTAATTCGTCGCAGCTGGCGTAGGAAGTTGGGAAAGAAAATGGGCGAGATCACGCTCGAAGTATATCTGTCGCGCCTTCTCGTCCTTACACTCTTTCATTTTTCATTCGCTTTTCTCCATGGCGCAATACGCTGACAACGTCGACTCCCATGCTTTCCGTGAGCCACGCCGAGCGCCCGAGGTAACGCGAGTAGCGTACCGAAAAGATGCCAATCTGTCCTTAGCGCTGATAATCACGTTGCCAGAAATGGCCCCCCACCTTAGGTGATCCGGCGTACCGGGGATAAATCCAAGTAGAACAGAATGATATACCAGCACGTTCACATAAACCACATCACCCGGGCGCTGCACTAGTACGCACGATTTGGTTGTGTCGATCATGCGATTGAAAGTGTCGTTTCCGTTCTCAAAACTAAACAATTCTGCACACTTAGGCGTTCTGAAGAACACCCAAATCTTGAAGGTGTGCGTGAGGCTTGGAGGTATATACGACACTACACGACCATGGTCTGCGTGAATAGGCGAGATTCGATTCCCGCTTTGAAGCCATGACTCCACAGGGTACACGTAGGCCTCATCGGCAGGAAATACCAGCTTAGAGTAGTATCCAGGAAGATTGACTATGAGTTGATCGCAAGGGGTTGGAATCTTCTTTTCCCATAGGCTCTCAACACGACGCTGAACATAGGCACGCATATCCATCACGCGCAGTAAGTAATTGAAGTGGGTAGGCGCTTCGGGAAGTCGTTCCTGTTTGCGAAGCGTGCCACATCGTTACAGGCTCCTCGAAAGACTAACGCAGGCGCCTCGCTGCTAACCGCGTCGCTCCATGAGAGCCCACCGTCAACGTAGCGGTCAGCGGAAGCAGAAATCTTGGCTACAATGCGCGGAATCATAACTCTGCTGTTTCCATAATCTCCACATTTCGCAAGATCGCACAACTCGTTGATAAAATCCACCATTTTATTACCAGAACACCGCACACTATCATAGCCTAGAAGATCGTGGACTAGAGGTCAAGCAATCGCCACCTCCGGGCGTGTCGGTACTCGCTCTGCGGTCTCGGACGTCCTCTTGAGGCCTTCTGGAACCGCGCGAGTAGCTGGCGCTTGGACGGTCTTGTTGTGAGAATAGAATTTGGGACAGAGCATAGTACAGTCGTCTACACAACACATTATACGTTATTTTGTCTCATACGGTAGGTCTATGTGTGTGGCTGAAAAGCAGCGGGAGTTGATGGGAAGAATACGGTTCATGTTTTGCACCGGTGCTCCTGCTGATTATGAGGTGCTGACCAAAAAAAATGCTGGTGTTTCTGGTATTTCCTCTTAGACGGGGCTTTCTCGCTGCTCATTGTTGAACACGGCTCAAGACTTTCCCGTGTTTTTAACCATCTGATCGACTCAAAATATCATGTGCGAATCGCCCGCCATTCATTTGCTCGTTGGGGAGAATCTCCTGTCTGCAAGAGACACCACACTCCGTGGTGTTGTGTCTGTCGACTTGTTCGAGTCGATGCCGTCGAGATGCGAACAAGGATTGGCACAAAGAGTACTGTATAGCCTGCCATCGATGGCTGGAAAATCAACCAGCTTACAGAATACTTCGAAGTACATGTACTTCCTATTGGGAGCGCTACGGTAGCTCATACAGGCCTGCATGCACTCTACAGCACACTCCCATGAGCTTTAATATATTTATTAAATTCGATTCGAGATGAATCGCTGGTCCAAAAAAATCTCTTTAGTTATTGCTTCAGGAAGCACGAAAAATTCATTTTCTTGTGAGTCAGCACTGAAATATGTGCGGCACAGCGAGGACGAGGAAGAAGATGACCGCGATCGTAGATGTCTCAAACGGGTTGAGCGTTGTTGCGGTCGATGATTTGTAAAAGTCCAGATTCAGCCTTGGACATTGTGCAGCAAATTGCTGCCAGCAATACATCATTTGTTCGGCATAATCCCCGGATACGATATTTCGCATGTTTATTAACGTTACGTGCAGCAAAGTTGGAAGTTTTCAAGATGGGTCAAAAATTGATCCGATCGGCTTAAACACTTGAGCTCACTATCACTCACTTTAGGTACGATATTTAACCGGCAGGGTACTATTTTTAATAGCTTGCTTTTTGTAAGGGGAGAATAGGCCAGCATCGGCAAATTTGACCGGAATTCACAAAACACATTTATTTAGAGCAAAACATAATTCTAAATTAATATAAATATTTGTGTAAGCTCGAGCAATACATGTACCGGTATGATACTTCGAGGTAGCATCTCAACTAATGTTTAACATTGCCGTAAGTTCCAAAGTGCCTCCATTAGTTGATCGAGGTATCCACAACAGTAGCGAGCCACCTCCGGTACCCGGGAGACCCAGGAAACCTGGACGCCACCGATCCAGATACAGCGTCTTCCCTCCCAGCACCGTCACATTTGACTTCCAAATTACAGTTTCACCCGCTGGAACCGGCACTTCGGCAACTTTGTCACCACCAGACTTGATATTAACACGCACGTCTTCCGTATCAACGCTCTTAAACGCAATGGTGACAGTGCCGTCACCATTTTTCGTCCACATGCCGTCACTGTTCTTGAAGGCTTTCTGAAGAATCGACATTCCTAGTGCCTTCTTCACATTACCATCGTCAATCTCTCCAATGAGCTCTGTGGGACCGCAAATGGGTTGAACGAACTCGGCAATTACAGACGAAATGTAAAACGGATCCCAAATGGACCAAAACGAAATCGCTCTGTCTGCAATCTTGAACGCATATTCTCCAAAATTAAGAAAAGTGCCATTGTCGCTCGTCCCGGCGCTGATCAAGTCGTCTACAATGGCAACAAAAGTCTTTCGCAGAGTTTCACGGGTGGCGTATGCAGAACCCTCGTCCGATTGCTCCAATAACTCGCTCATGCAGTTGTTCGTCGCGATAGGAATATCGTTCTGCATGAGGTTCGACTGACTCATAATAACTCGAATGTCATCCTCGGAGATGTCTGGATTAAGTGAACGTAGCTCTGCCACGGTCATCCACGTACGATCCAGTAGACGCTTCAAGTCGTAGCCACAAGTTGTGTTCGACTTGAGTGCAGACTTGAGCGACGTAATTTCCGTCTTTTTTAACTCGGAGATCGACTCTCCTAGCGCGATTTTCTTCATAAATTTTGTGAACGAGCTCCAGCTTGACAGAATGATGTCCCCGCTGTAAAGGATTTCTTTCAATATGTACTCTGCAGTCGTGAGCACCATGTCCGCGAACTTGACATCGTCAGACACTTTGCTGCCGACACAGTAGGAAATCGTCACGGGAATGTCGATCACCACATTGTCGATCTGGTACAGGATCGCAAGAAGCTCTTCTTGAGACGTGTCGGGGTCGTGAATTTTGATGTAGCGAATGTATCGGACCAGAGACTTGGTGAGACTGATCATATACTTGACGCACTTGACCGCGACCTGAATATTCTTTGCCCATTTGGTCATATCGCCGTAAAGACTCCACGCGGATAGCGAGATCGCATTTTGCACCACGACTGCAACTTTGTAGAAAACTTCCATCCCGCAACCATCACCCTGCCGGATGCACTCGAGGCCACATTCAACCGGATACATATACGGACACTGCGTCCAACACACTCCGAGTTTGCTGTCGAACCCCAGAGGACATGTCTTTGCAATGTGAGCCTTGCGCCAGCACGCGCGAGAAGAATAATATTGAGTATTGTTACCAACCCAGTTGACGTACGTCTGTTCGATGGTGCTCGTTGCGTTAAGCACACTGCCGAGTTGAAACGCTGCGTTCACTACGGCTAGTGGTCCTGCAGGCGCTGGCATAGGTGTGGTCTCTTCGCTGTCTGAAGAGTCATCGTCGCTGCTGTCGGACGAATCATCGTTGCTATCTTCAGAGTCGTCTGGATCGCGCTCAGATGCGCCGCCATTAGAATCGGACGAGTGCGTGTAGTGGGATGGTCGCGCGCCAGTCGTTGCATTCTCAATATTGCCGTCGCTTGAAGAGCTAACCAAGGAAATAGAGCTATCCACCACATGACGAGAAGGGATTACATGTACCGGCGTCGATGTCGATCTGTTGCTGATTGTGTAGATCGTCGCACACGGTGTGCCAAAGAGCGTTGCACCAATTACGGCGAGTATCATCATCACCTTCGTCATTCTCATCGGAACTATCAGCGTCCGAGCGAAACGTGGTGAAATTATGAATGAGATGGCTCAACACCGAGCCATCTAAAGATTGACCGTCTTTGAAACTCTACTGGGCGGTACCTTGGATTCCAATGCTGCTGCGACTTCACGAGCAACGTCTTCACACAAAATCACTGCTTCCAATCACCAGTATTATCTTCGACTGTCGCGCGGCACTGCGTTGAAGGGTGCAAGCTTCGTGCGCCACTCAGTTGGCTCACTTGACCGTCAAGTTGACGTACTGGCCATCAGGATGCCGAACAGGGATTGGGCATTTGTTGCTCAAATGAACAAACACGCCGATTTGGAACGCGGCCTCCAGTCATTTGGAGTCCAAATTGGACACTGGATTGCGACTGAAAACAGGTTAGTACGGTATTCCACGAGAGTGGTGTCTTCAATGAAGACTCTTCATGGAGATACACTTGTCTCTGTTGAAGCCGTTTTTGTTATAAAGTGAGAATGCAACCCGATCGCCGAAATTGCTACAAAAAATGAGAAAATACTCCTGTATTAAAACCATAGGATTATTTATAATACAAGAAGTATTAAATTAAAAGAGTTACCGGTAGGTGATAGGTACTAATATGGAGTGGTGCACATTTGACTCCAAATTGTGTGGTACACAGAAAGAAAGGAATTATGTATATTTGATGTAGATCTGCGTCGTCGCCACACATATTGCATCTGTAGATTGCGATCGTCATGGTGCAGGTCTTGCTGGGCGCTCTCCGCGCGGCGGGGCGACGTGCTTCCGCTGCCAGGCTCCTTGCCACTCGCAGCGTATTAAGAACTGCATCTTACGCCACGCAGTCGAGTGGTGCGTGGGCCATCAACTCTCCCGACCGCAAGTTATTCAGATGATCATGTGCAACTTCTTCTAACGCGTTGCCATTTTTTGCAAAAAATGCAGTGTACACATGGGGCAACGGAACATTGGGTCAGCTTGGGCACGGGTCTGTGATCAAATCGGGTATCCGCAGCGCGTACGAGGAGCTGACGCCCAAGCTCACAGAGGCTTTAGAGGGCAAAGCCATCACGCACGTCGAGTTCGGAGCCAGCCACAGTGCAGCCAGTACGTTTCCATCATGCAATTAGTACTACTAGTATAATACTGACCTTACGTATTGCTATGTGCAGTTGATGAGGAAGGAAAACTCTACGTATGGGGCAGCAACGAGTACAGCAAGTTGGGCCTCGGCGAGAGCAGTGAGATGGAGACGCTCCCACGCGAAGTGGAGGCTCTCAAGGGCATCAAGATCGTGGACGTATCCTGTGGCGATTATTTCACGGCTGCAGTGGACGAGGACGGCAAAATGTACTCGTGGGGCTGGGGAGGGTCCACCATGAAGGGCGCTGGAGGTCTTGGCCATGCTGGAGGCAAGGACGAGCCCACGCCACGACTACTGACGACGCTGGTGGATCAGGGTGTACCCATTGCTACAGTCGAATGTGGCGAGTTCCACACCGTCGCGCTTACTAAGGACGGCGAGATCTGGGCCTGGGGTAATGGCGAGTACGGACGTCTGGGCAACGGCGAGTCTGACACGTGCGAGGTGCCCGAACCCATCGAGTTCTTTTCCAAGGACAACGTCGTGTCGATTGCAGCGGGACGGGACTTTTCCTTCGCCCTGACAGACAAGGGCGAGCTGTACAGTTGGGGAGGCAACAGCCGTACGTTGGGGTGCTCACGAGGACGTGGGAGCGATGTTGATACTTACTTTGTCGTTGTGATACTGTAGAGAACCAATTGGGTATTGGCGGTGGTCTGGCGATGGACGTGTACAACATCGAGTCGATTCCTGTGCTAGTTGAGGCGTTCAACGGCCTCTTGGTGAAGCAGATCGCAGCTGGTTACGACCATGCAGCTGCTGTGACTGAAGACGGGCGTCTGTACATGTGGGGAGCCAAGATCTGGATTGAACCGCACGAGATGACGGCCGTGAACGAGCACAAGATGACGCAGGTGGCTTGCGGACGGCAATACACTGTGGGCTTGACCGACGACGGCAAGGTGTTCACGTTCGGCAAGGGAAGCTCCAACTGTCTGGGTCACGGCGACCGCAAGAACCAGCTGCAACCGGTGAAGATTCAAGCTCTGGCTGGCGTTAACATCACGTCGTACGTGACTCCTTAACGCATTCGTTATAACTGTCAGCTAACCAATTCGTCTTCAATTTTTGCAGGGTCTCGTGCGGCGACTACCACATGGGCGCCATCGCGACACCTCACGCGGAGGCAGCCGACAGAGACTTTTCCTTCCGGGAGTAGGACGTAGCTCGAACGTAACAAACAACTCGCTGGTGGCTCGATGTGTTGATCTTTTACTTAATTCAAATCGACACGGATGAACCGTCGCCTCGATCTTTTTGCACTTGGGGTGTCCATGATTCGCATCGCGTTGCTGTTGTGTGTAGCACTTCCGCCGTGGCTACTGCTGATCTCTGGTTCTTCCGTGTGGTCGCTCTTTTGGCGACCAAGTGACGACGTCTTGCTGGGGACTTCAAAGCTCGAGTGGCGACAGGTGCGCAACGTACTGCGCTGGTTGGAAGGAAGACGAGATGTCGTGCTCTCGCTGGAGACGTGGCCTGAACCAGACACCGACATGGACGAGTGTCTAACACGCTACCGAGACGCCAAGCACAACGAGATCTGCGTCATCAGCAGCTAGAATTAACAGCAACTTAACTCGTTATTAATCTAACGTTCTATTCAAGTTCTATTACTTGCCGTCGCGTTTACGTTTAAGATTGTTACGGCTCTGCATGACAGCGGACCCGGTGCCGTCCGATGCGACGACGTCCGTGACAATGTACGGAGCTTGGGCCGGTTCTTGAGCCGATAATAAGATGCTGTCGAGTGGCATGCTGCTGCGTATTAAGAGGTTGATGCGCTTCAAGACGGACAAAGGTAGAGGACTCAAAATGAACAGTTGACGCTGCTGGGCATCCACCGCGCGGATGATCCCGACGCCAAGACACGGCGCATGAACTGGCTGCAGTACGATACGTGGCGGGCCCTCTCGTGACTCGGCTTCGTCCTGTTCAACTGGTTTGTAGTCGGGGTTGACACAGAGACCGACGACGCTGGCATTAAGCGAGAACAGGAGTTGGCTTGGAGCTACAGAGGAACCAGCGAACGCGACATCCACATGGTCGAATGACACGGCGAAAGGTGTGAGTTGCGCATAGGCGCGGTAGATGTCACGGTCTACGCGATTCTTCTCGGACAAGACATGAAGATTCTGTAGTTGCGATCGCGGGAGGTCACATCGGACACGAGAGAGGAAGTACGAGTGGGAACGATACACGCGCAGTTCCTTGGAGCTTCGTGGCGGTTGCGTCACGCCCACAGGGTCCCAAGGAGGGACGGCGTGTATCCGCCATCGGCCTTCTGTGGGCACATCGAACTGTTTGTTCTTCGTCGCAGCCACAAGCTGCACGACGTGATCAGGGTTCGTTTCCTGGATGACGTGGCAGAGCAAGTCGTGGCCCATACTCTTGATCCACCCGTCGGTGTTGATCACCAGCGGAACACACGCACGTTGTCTTTCGATTGACTTGTCCTGTGCTTGTCTTCCCCATTTGCCTTCGTACAAACGTAGTAAACCCTTGACTGCCTTCATGTAGTACAATGGATCATTGCCGGGGTTGGTGTTTCCGCAGAAGAAGGAACGGATCGGGTGTTTCATGTGCGCAAATCCCGGTCCAAGCAGCGGAGTCGTCAGGGCATGAAGCGCTACAAGACCCGACGGAGTCAGTTCGCTCTGTCCCAAGTCCGTGTCTAGAAATGCCACGGTGTCGAACTTCGAGAGCAATGTGTTCACTAAATATCTACAAAACGTGGACTTCCCCACGCCCTTGCCACCGCAGACGACGATCTTCTGAGGGTTCTGTGCCACCAGACTGGCCTGCAGTCTGTCTACTGTCGCTTGCCACGGCTCCGTGAAATTCAGCGTCTTGAAGGAGTCCACGACGACAAGCTCGGCCAGTACGCGCTCCGGCGACTTCCAATCGTAATGCGATGGGTCAGTAGTTGGAGGTGCAGCACTTGTGTAGTCGAACCCTGCAGTTAACTCACTCAGCAAGTTCTGGTTATGTTTTGAGACGATCATCTTAAAACCAGGCAGAACTGCCGACGGCTTCTCTGGTCTTGTATTCTCATAGAAACTCATGATATTCCCGTATGTCAAGGGAATGGCGCGAAGCACCAGCACGATGGGGAAGGCGTCTACAAGTTGCATGGCCAGTTTGTCCGCCGCTATCTCTTGGTCCTCGTTCACAGCCTCAGGATGCAGATTCGGCTCCATGCCTTGCAATAAACTGACATTCATAGGTCCAAAAGGCGCCTGAGTCTCTTCATTACCAGGTCGGCCCTCTATCACCAGCAGATTATTCCATTTGGGTGAATGCAACGAGAAATACACGCCGAGAGGTGGGCGAAAGCCCAACACTTCCACGTTGCCCTGGAAGACCCGAAAAAGCGCCATACCCGCGCAATTTACGGACGCGGTCTTCTGCATCCCCAGCGCAACCACATTGCCAGAACGCACGCACAAGGCTCGGTATAACGGAGATGACGCAGCCTCGCCAGCCGCAGGGCCGTAGAGCGAAATGTCGGTCATCGTTTGTGACATAGTGGCCACTTGTAATTTGAGGGAATTCTCACACGTCACATGTTTCCAAAATGAGGGGATTGAGGCATTTTGCACACGTCACACATTGCAGCTTTAACTTGTTGAGTAAGAAGGAAATAATCATGAGCTCTTCTCTTCAGGCAGCGTCGACAACGCCTAAATGTAGTGGGTAACTATTTTCGTGGGGACGGCTGGTTGGTGATAACTGCTCACTGCTCGAAAATGTATGGTTTGCCTTTGCTCTCTCAATAGCAACGCTACAACCTGAAAACGCTCGATAACAGCTCAGAGGTGTCAAGCACTGCACCCCGAGCATGTTGCCGGCACTCACCACCAAGCCGAGGCAGGCGGTGCGTCAGGTCAAAGGATTGACGAATGACTCCATCGACTCCTACTCAAATATGCCTCTCGGTGGTAGTGCGTCGACGGCGTACGTGGATAACACTGAGTCAGGGAGCGGGACAGCGCACGTGTCGCCACTAGCATCAAGTCGAGCGACTATTAATACAGGACGTGCAAGCGTTGCTAAGACAACGAGTGGCGAGGATAGAGTGATGGCTCGTGTCGTACGAGACCGAAACGCGTCAGGAGAGGAAGAGTTGTCGCTACAAACCGGAGATGTCGTCAAGGTTCTCTCCACCAAGCGTACGGGGTATCTCAAATGTGAAGCAGGAGATGAAGTAGGCTACATACCGTCATCTTACTTGGAATTTCTTGACGTTTTTACTGAAGTAGAAAACGGAACTAGCAACGGAGTAAGTGAAGAAGCTCAGCGAGCAGCTGAGAAACAACGTAAGAGACAGCAGAAGAAGGAGAAGCGTAGGAAGGAGAAACGGGAAGCCAATGAAGGTAATGAACTGAACGAAGTAGTTCCTTCTACTGCACGCTCACCTCGTAAAGAAATTACTAGTGGAGACAATGAGGGCACCGACTCGCCACGCAAGCGGAAGAAGAAGGAACGAAAGCATCGTGATCGCGAAGCAGGTGAAGAAACTCATAGAAGTGCAGCTAGTGAGGAGCCCTTAACCGCGAGATCTCGAACTGGTGAGGACACGGAGCGCTCTCGTACTAGAAGCAAACACTCGAAGAAGAAACGCCATCGAGACGGAGGCAGTAGTGGCTCTAGTGACAGTGACAGCGGGAAACGTAGTGCTCGACACGGTCGTCGACGCCGTCATCGACGTGGATCAAGTGGTAGCGAGTCCGATGCAACATCATCGGACGCCTCGGATGCTAGCTTCAGACGGAGACGTCGTCGTCGACGTCACAGACATCGACGAAGCTCTAGTGAGGACGAAGATGAGGACGATAGCGATCACAAACGACGTTCCAAACGTAGCAAAAAACGTCGTGATAAAGGTGGCGACGAGTCTGAACCCGAAGAAGGTTCTCGCTCAGCTCGTAAAGCTGAGAAGAAGAAGTCCACAGCAGCTCTACAAGAAGTGGAGAAAGGAGTGAGTCAACTGGATGTGAGATCCGACGAAAAGCCAACGGAAGCGAAAGTCACTCCGTTGTCAAGCAAGAAAGAGGAACTTGATCGAGACAGAGACAGAGGGAAGAAAGAGGAGACTGAACGTAGTGAAGGCTCGTCAGAAGGACGGACAACGACCGTGTCTTCAAGTCGGAAGGACGATGAAGGTCGCACAAGTTCCGGCGCTCTTAAGAACAGCAAGGCAGGATTTGGCAGACAAATCGGAGAGAAGATGCGATCATTCTTAGGTGGAGGCAGCAAGAAACAGCACAGTAGCAAGAGCTCGAGTGGTATTTTGAACGCGTGTCCCGGTACCGTACAAGGCGAGGAAGGCTGGTACGAGCACGGCGAGAACGAACGCTACTACTTCGTGCTTGTCGATGGTAAATGGAGTCTTCTGTACGGACCTATGACGGAGGACGAATTTGAAGTCTTCTCCAACCGGGTACGAGTCCTCAAAGTTTTTTGCAACCATATAACCCATTTCTAACATCCTATCGTTCAGGTGTTGGAGCAAAATCGCCCTATCGAGTTGCCACCAACGTATCTACACAAGTCAGGTTACTATCTCAACCGCGAGCTGCGTGTTCAGAGAGAGCAGTGAAAAACAAAGCGTTAACAAACTATCACTTACCGACTTTTATCCAAACAATACACGAAAAACTCCACACTCATTAAAGAAATATAGTTTTCATTCATTAAAAACAATCTCCTATATTGTGGGATTGCCTGGGGAATCGATGGTTGTATCCAAGACAAGTTGTGAGGGGAAATAGAGTTCGGGTGGGATACTCCTTTCGTGCTGTCCTGAGCTAGTAAACCATTGCGTAGGCGATCGCAATAACTCCTTCAGCTCCTCACTTAACGAGAGTTTCCGGCGTGGAGAAGTCGGTTGGCTTGCAACCTTAGGAGCTATCTCCACCTTTGGCTTGGCTTTGCTCGGGGATGCTGCTGAAAATGCCGCGTTCACTACAACTGCGTTCCTCACAACCTTCCAGCTCGTCTGCTTCTCATTTGGTGACAAAGGCTGTACCGTTCGCTTGGAAGGGGATAGCTCTTTCCATGCTGTATCGTCCGCTGGTTGATCGACGCTATGGTCTTCGGTATCCAGATCCAAACGTAGACTAGACGACTCTTTCCGCGGTCCTAGCCGCACTTCATTCAGCTTCCGGTCCACAAACGTCGCCTGTAACTCGGGAGCCACCTGCTGCGCACAAGCCGCCACCTGGTCTTCACTCAACTCCTCCGAGCCAGCCTTACCTTCCGTGTGATACTGCATTTTGCCTAGCAACTCTGGCGTTCGGGTGATGCTGAACGTGCCTTCCCTATGCATCTTCACAAGCTCCGCGAGATGTTGTTGATGTGGCAGCCAATGCGTGGCAACCGTGTGATACGCTTCACGATGACGGTCGTTCAGTCCCTTGGGCACCACACACACCTGCTCGAGCTTATGTAGCAACACTGGCGTCTCTTCTGAGTGCAGTTTGCGGTTGTTCATGCACCGTTCCGCATGTGTCACGAGCTTCTCGAGCAACGTAAGGTTCGTCTGGTATCGTTCTTCCAGTTTCGTTTGCGCCTCTTGCTCGCGCTCTCTCAATCTCGAACACTTGTCACGAACTTCTCGCAGTAGTTTTTCCGTCTTCACCATGTCCATCTTGTTCGCAGCCTCAAACACTAGTAGACGATCCAGTAGGACTTTGACGCCCACGCCTTCTCCAAACTCATGATCGCACCACCCAAGTCCACGTTGGAGCCAGCGGCTACGTAGCGTGAACGCTGCTGACGCCCACTCCAGTCGTTGGCGATGCGCTGCACTGAGCTTCCGCTTGATACTTAAAGTTGACGCGTCAAAGCCAAGCAGCCAGTCGGCGATCGACTGGCTGAATGTATGGCGCGTTCGCTGCTTGGGGATAGGAACACCATCCAGACTACTGCATTCGTCATACGGGAAGGTGTCTTGCAGTCGGCCCTTGGCCAGATCCATTCGTGAGCGGAAACTCGTCACTTCTTGGAACACGTTAGCAGCATAGCTAATAGCCGCGTAGTGTGCCATCGCGCTAGCATTTTCCCCTTTTGGACAGTGAGACAACATTTCATCGCTCGGCGTACGAATTCTTCCAGTAGCGACAGCTTGGAGCAGTTCTTCTCTCGTGAAAGCCTCGGGAGGCAGTCGATAGTTGGCGCCAATAACGCGCTTATTGACGTTGTGTAGTTCCATGGCAATCTCTTCCTTCGTCACAGCTTCGTCCCTAGATTTGCCCAGAAGAGCTCGCATACAACGATCCAAAGCTGCGTACTCAGCTAGTCGTCTCGTGTAGGATTCATGCACTAACAGTCGCTGGAAGCGCTCGACAAGTGTCAGGTAGTCTCCACTTACATCGATTTCGGCGTTCTCGACTGCAGCAGCGAACATGTCGGCTTCTGTTCGCTCGCTTTCTTCATCGAGCACATGAGATTCTCCCGCAAAAGAGCGCACCAGAGAGTTCCGCTTACGCAGCGCTTCGAACAGCAGCATTCTACGCAGAGCCTCGATCTGTGTGTCAATAATACCTAATCCAGTGTTGATAGCCTTGGTATTGGACGTCTGAGTACCAATACGAACTCCACGAAGCATGACGGGCTCGCCCTTGCGGTCCATTCCTCGCTCCTCAAGTAGCGTTTGGATAGAATTTACATCCTGTGGTACAGTGACCTTGATATCGTGTTCGTCCATTAACTGAGCAATTGTCATGGGGCTCGCCATGCTCGGAATCGCGATACCTTTGGCCAATAACGCCTCCTTCTGCAATGTACATACTAGCGACTTCATCAGATTCTCAACTTCAGTCGTAGAAATCTGGCGAATTGTCATCTCTCGCAGCAAAATTTGGTAGTTTTCCGGCACAGCGAGCTCATGGTTTCTACTCACCGCGTGACTGACTTTCCAGAGCAAATCCGTTTTCCCGAGACTTTCCATCGCTTGGTAGAGTTCCGCGACACGTTCTGGGTTCGGTAACGTGAGCGGTCGATTGTTATCGCGCTGACTTTCGAGAACTTTTTCGAGTCTTTTGATCTCTTCGTCCACATGTTTGGGCAGCACAACCGACTGAGAGCCGGACGTGGCATCCAACAGAGACGACTTGACCCACGCATCGTCCTTTGCATTGGCATTAGACGTCGACGCAGCGTTGAAATCAACCGTTGACGTTTTTGGAATGACGCCACGATCTTCCAGTGCCAGACGCACGTTCGCAGACGTGAAGATCATTTCTTCCTGAGTTATCAGCAGACGTGTGTCTTTGCCATCACGTGAGAACGGTAACCAGTTCTTCTTGTCGGTATCCGTCGTGATACGATGATAAGGAATCCGCTCCAGTTCGTACCTGGCTTCTTCGATAGCATACCATTCCGCTATGCCCTGCAATTGTCCACTGTCTTCAGTATCACTTTGAGACCTAAAGCCCACGTCAGACGACACAAAATACTGTCGAGACAATCCGCGTTGTCTGTCTGAAATCATGGAAGATGCTGCTGCTCTCTCTCGTCTGTTCGGTTCTTCTTGTCTCTTTCTACGCGCAGGTCTCCACAACTGCATCTTCTCGAGGATAAAGGGTGTGTGTTCACTATCAATCGAGTGTTGCGACTGCATCTGCACCACCTCATGGAGCCATTCTTGCACTTGTTCCCATCGCTTTTGGACCGTTTCCAGCGCTCTGGCATCGACGTCTGCAAAGCCGTCGCATTGTTCATCAAGTAGCAGCAATAGCTCGTGTGTGCGTCGCCAATGCACAACCTTCTTCTCCATCAACCGAAGCTCACTTAAAGGTCCATTAGGCTGCGTGATCGCCATCCAACGAGACTGAATCTGCGAGACGGCGTCTGCGTGGCGCGTGTTGAGTCCTTTACTGCAACGTTGCTCGACGGTACTTAGTAGCTGTGGCGCACGAGCCAAGTTGAGCTTGCCTTGATTCATCCTCACGAGCTCCTCCAAGACATCCAGCAACGTCTGCCATTTCTGCTTGACCTGCTTCCACGCCGTGCTGAGTCCTACGTCGAGTCCGTCAATCTCTTTCTCGATATCGTCAAGAATGTCTGGCGTTCGCTGGGCGTGGATCTGGGTGGCAGTCTGGATCACCAACAGCTCGTCCAGCTTCGGTTGCAGGTTCACCCAACGTGTGTGCACTTGCATCACTGCCCCGCGATACGTATCTGCCATTTTTGCCACGCTTTGGGTATATTCCGCTTCATCAACATCCGATTTCTTGCTTGGAGTAACACTCTCCTGCAAGACAAAGATGTCCCAAACGAGACTAAGCAGCACCGGTGTACGCTCCCAGTGTAGCCTGCCATAAGCTTGTAACGTCAGCTCATCCAGGTATCCTTTCATAGTCGTCCAGCGTCGACGTTGCGCTGGCACGACAGTGTCGTGTATACGTCTGCGTGCTGCTTCGTGTTGCGCGATATACTTGATTTTCCAGACCTTGTAGACCTCGATCGCTTGCTCAAAGAACGAGCTCTCCGACACCTTCAAGTGGAGACGCAAGCGTATCTTCCCCCTGTCATTCGCTCCACGTGGATCAACAGTATGTTTATACCCACGTGCACTAACCGAGGGTAAGTACAGAAGCTCGTAGACGTCGTCATGCGGCTGCTGGTCAAGCAGATCCATCAGCGGGATACACGCCGTGCCTACATATCCATCCACCTCGTTACGGTCTTCGTCCATCACTTGTACACGCACTGACGCCTTCAGGATCATGTCAAGTACTTGGACCAACTTGGTGAGTCGACGACGTTGATACAGCTTCAGACGGACTTTTTGATCTTCAGGTTCCAGTTCTTCCACCTCGTTCTCAAAGAAGGACAACAAGTGCTCGCCTTTCGTCACGTCTACATGGTCGTCATTTGCGTCCAGAGCGTACAGCTCGTCCAGCTTCGGGATGAAGTGCTTGGTCAGCACTTCGTGCAGCTTTAAAACAGTCTGCTGCACCCGATTCGAGCACGTCGCCACGTTGGCTTCCACTACCACTGTATCATCGCGCTTTCTGCTCTCCTTTTCATCCACTTGAGTCTCAGAAGACCAAGGTAGTCGTCTCTCAGTCACGTAGTGACCAAGTCCCAGCTCGTGTGCTGTATCCTTCACAAGAGACTTCGTTTGTTGCAGCGTAAGTTGCAGCGTATCCATTGCTCGAGCCTTCAGATCGTCAAAACTCTGACTCTCGTTTGAAGAAGATAGAAGCGTCACAGAGCGAGAGGTAGAAGACTGCAGTTTGGTCCTTGCCACAAACCTCTGGACCTTCACAATCTTCTGCAGCTGAAGCTCCATATCAGCAGGTGTGCTTAGCAACACCTTCCCTTCACCAGATACAGGAGCTCCGGCTGCAAGAAAGCTTCGAGCGAGCTTACTTTGCTGCTCTTCCAGCGTCAACTTGAGTAGTTCTTTTGGACAGATAGTCCAGAAGTCCATGGGTTGGTCAAGATTTTTGCAATACACTTCAGCGTTCACACTATACTTTTGGATACGCTCAACACTCAACGATAGCGTCCCGACAACTACACGCTTCCCGTCAGCTCCATCGCTATATATCGGCTCGTCCTTAAGCTTCTCAGTGCCATCTACGGACCGAGACAAACTAATTGATTCCATCGGAATCGTGACTATTCCGAGCTGCGTCCGGCTTTTCTTGTCTCGCACAGTTAATCGCACTTCCGAAACACGATCCAAATCCATCGTCGGGTACTTAAATTCCACGTCACAAGAGCCGTTCTTTACCCTCCAAGACACTGACGCATCTACCGTTTGCTTCGCCACTTGAGTGGCATCATACACCAGTGTGAAACTCGAGTTCTTGGGATAGATATCCGGCAATAGCTCGCCCGATGAAGAGACCTCCAAGCCGAAAGAAGTGAGCCTCTTGTTACCGCCACTGACAGTCATGTGCTTGTCAAAGTCGCTGGAAACAAGCACCACTTCCACTTGGAGTCCGTCGCTTCCCATTTTCTCTTTAAATTTCATATTACTCGCCTCAAACACCTTCACATGGAGCGAGTCAAATCGAATACTTGCGCTGTAGACATCCACGTCACCTGCTCTCTGGTTCGTGTCAGCGTTTGCAGCGTTGGATTTACTGGTTGAGCTGGGTAGAAACCTCAAACGGCAACGCGTCGATGAGGTTTCCGAAGGTGGAGAAACGACCATGGCTTTGTGGAACGGAGCAAGTTGTCTACGAACTCCAGCTTCGGCTACGATGTCGTCAATTCTAAAGTGCAGTTCGTGGACCTTGTCGTCCAAATCTCGAACACTAACTCGAATATCATCGAGAGACTCGAGCGAAACTTGGGGAGTTAACACAGATCTTCCAGGTGGACTAGTAAAATCAAGAGACAGTTCCATACTGGACTTGACATTGTCCTCGGAAGTCGTCAAGAACCACGACAGCTTCCGCAGATCAACCGAGTCAGGTGACAGCATGTTCACGTCCACAGCGAGCGTGTTAACAGTCTGTAGTCGCGTCGAAATGGCCGTTGCTGTCTCATAAGCAGTAGACACAGCTTCACTGACGTTCCCTTCGTCATTGTGCGGTACAGACAGCTGGAACTTGATGTCAATGCTTGCATCTAGCCATGACACATCAGCCAAATTCGCATCAATGGCTACATTCTTTGAACTTGGCTGCGTCGGATCGAGGACCACATTGTGACTGGAATTCTTAGCAAACTCCACTCTCACACGTTCAATAACCACACGACATTCCTTGCAACCCGATCGTAGGTATTTACAGCCTTCCGCACGCAGCAATCTCTGAACGACTGTCACAACGGAGCCCGACGTATTTCCCAATGTAGCCATGACCAAACCTTTGAAAAGTGCCTCCGAATTCGGCGAGGAACGTACCCGGACTTGTCCAACAATTTGCACGCGTGGAGGTGGCGCTACGATCAAGTAGAAGCAGTTCTCCTTACTGAATTTCGGTAACATCTTTGAGGCTCCAGTGTGTATACGACGTCTGCATACAGCACTGTATACCAACTCTAGCTGCTCTGCTTCTTGCTTGTCGAAAGTCTCTCCTTTCACGAACCCGTGGTACTGACCAACAAAACGCGGTTGGTCTTCGTTACGCTCCATTAGTGTCGTTGGCACAAGTTTGTTGGTCGTCGCATTGCGAACTTGGAGCGACTTGACTGCGCCAGGAAGAAGCGCGTATACTTTCACGATTTTGTCACTACCCCACCAGAGATTTTCCAATGTTTTGGCCATGCTCCGTACCGAATCGGGAACATGACAATTTGTACCCAGCGTCGACAGCTTCGAGCTATAAACTGCGCCCAGAAATGCCGTATCGGCCGCGAGGACGCCGTGGCGTGTTCGTATTTGGGTGCGTGATAAGTTGTGGACCGCTTCACCATTCTCGAGGCACACAGTGTACTTAACTGCTGGGGGGGGGTCAGTTGAAGCTGCTGCTGAAGCGTAAGTGCCAGTAACTTTCCCGGCATACATAACGTCATTGCACATCGGAGTCAAGCGACTTCTGTTCACCATTTTGGCGTCTACGGGCACTAGTCCATCCGTAAATGCGACGTCATATCGCGCACCACCATGGCAGTGTGTGATCTTTCCAGAGCGTGTTTTACCTGTAAGGATTGCTGAGGAACTGCCAGTCTTGATATCGTCCGAGGCTTCCGAGGGGATAACGTGCTCTCCACTAATGTAAACGAAGTCGTCGGGTATCAACACGGACTTCAACAACTCTCCCTCGACTTGCAAGACAATTGCGCTCATTAACAAGTGCGTTCTCCACTCTTCGTGCGGCTCTGAGCTGTCCAAATATTCAACCAAGTACGGCGCGTCAGGGTGCTTGGTGTTGTCATACTCTTTCAGTTTGCCAAGACGCTCTTGTGTGTCACCTTTGCCGTCATTATCCGGAAGAACGGTACAGATCTTGATGTTAAAAAGCCCTCCTCCACACTCCTTGACTATCCGGGCGGCCACAAAGCGTCCGCCACGTAACTGGGTGTCTACAACAACCCCAGCATGCTTAAAGAAAGGAAACTTCACAGTCACTCGATCGTCAACACAGAACGGACTGATCCACCTCAGTGCGTTGGTTGCAGTCTGGTTATCCTCTCCACTTAATGACAGGACGTTAACTCCAGTCCAGTCGCACTCCGTAAAGAGCTTTTCGATCAATTGCGGTGTCTTCTTGCCGTGACAATTGCCAGTCAAATAGTCTCTAGCCTCCGTCACTTGCATTAAGACACGGGACCATCGATGAAGCACAGCGTCTAAGGCTACTGCATTCGCATACGACAGACGGTCATTCTCTCCACTCAACAAGACGAGTTCGAGCACGTAGCCCAGCAGTTGAGGTGTCGCTTTCCAGTGAAGTGTGAGCGCTTGACTCATGACACGCACTTGAGCTAGCAACTCCTCCGCAACATTACGTCCCAGGATCAAGTTCGCTTGGCAGTGTTCCCACAGGAAAGTCTCGACGTCCTTGTTAAGTTGCTCCAAGTTGTACCGTCCACCGCTATGGTTAAACGTTCGGGAGTCAAACGCGAGTCCAACCAACCGGAAAGTGTCGGCCACGAGTCTTCGAATGCGATCTGCTCGCTGAATTCCAATCAAGTTTAAGTCAAACTTCAGAGCCACCGTGTCCTTCGCGTCACGCTCAGTCAAGACCACGGTTTCGTCTCGGAAGCTCGCGCACTGATTCGGGTTTGTCAACGAGAATTCCGTCGCCCCATCGGACTTACCAAGTTGACCCTCGAAAACTCTACCAGTCGACTCGGAAGCCAAACGCACGTCGAAATAGTTCACTTTCGACAAGTCGTACGTCCGGCCGAGTATCTTGAATGCTTCTGCGTAATAAGAGGAGCTCGCTAGCGTCGCTTTATCTGAACTCACTAGTGACGCAGTTGAGCTGAGAAGATCGCTGAGTCGGTATGAATTAACAGCTCCTAGGTCTTCAGAAGCAGAGTCGTATTTCATCTTAGATCCACCTTCTCCATGCGGTAGGAAGCTGCACGTGTACTTGCTCCAGTCTTCCTGAGCTCCAGTATTCTTGGTCACCTTCTTGATCGCAATCTCCGCCGAGTAGTTGGTTGTTACTGCTGCTTCTATTGCTGCTTCGTGTCGGTTCTCGGTGACATTCACTGAGATGTCGTTCCGGATAATCTCCACGATGAAGCGCAATTTCCCCAGCACTCCATCAGGCGCAGGCTTCTTCTTTATCTTCTGCTTACCCGAGACTGGAAGCAGCATCGCGTCTACTTCAACACGATGTTGACCATCCAACGTGAGCTCTTGTGTGTCTGCATTTCCGTAAGCATCAGCCTGCTTGAGTACGAGACCTCGGATGTATCCGTTCTCCGTCCGTAAGAACTCAATAGTGACACAACCCATCGGATCATTCGCCGACGCTGCATCGTAGTCCGTCACACGCAGCAGTATTCCCTTCTTATCACTAAGCCTGGTTCTCTCCGATTTCCCCAACAAGAACTCCTGATTCTCCCATTTCGGGTTGAGCGACTTCATCTTGACGTCCGTCTTGAGACTCGTATCCCGCTCCTTCGAATCTTGGTCCAACAAGAAAATTTCCACGAACGGATCGCTTGTGAGCATGTCGGCCACAGGAAGATTACGTCCTTCCAGGATCGAGACCTTCACAACGGAAGGTTCTCTACCTACAGCAAATAAAGCTTTGCTCTTACTATCTTCTTTACTCGGAGAGAGCGTCGCCTTTGTATCTCGTAGCGACGTGGATTCTACGTCTTCTGGGATCGAAGGAAGCTTTGCGCTTCGTGTCATCTCTCGCTTCTGCACCAGCTGAAGCTCCACTCTAACCTGACCTAGATTTGTCCTCTGAAGCATGTCACTAGCAGGTGCTAGAGGATACCAGGCGTCGATTGGGCGGTGAGGAGAGAGCATCTTTGTATGGATCTTGAGAACGCCCAGTGGTTTGTGACGATATCTGTGCTTCACCATGCGCGAGACACAATCCTCCAGATCTGTATTCTTGAACAAGATATTGAGATCGAAGCATCTTTCACTCACCTTTTGAGGATCCAGATCTCCCTCACTTGTGCGGATATGGCCTCGCATCAACCCTTCCTCGACAATCCGTTCGTTGGCGCGAGTGTACTCGACGTCGTAGAGCAGAAACATGTCACGCTGCGCCTTCGATAGACTCAACCACGACGCCTTGTCGGTCACCTTGTACTTCGTTAAGAGCTTGGAAAGTTCTGCTGGTACCTCGTTAATGTCGGTCATGTCGTACGCTGTCTTGAACGGGTATTTTTCGTCGGTAAATGGGGTACGGATCCGTATTATTCGTCCCGAATACAGTGAGTCGTTCTTAAAGTTCCCACTGTTCACAGGCTTCGATTTCCGGATCTTACCTCGGCCGTAATATGCCATCACCGTGTCTCCTTGCGCTCCTGCTTTCTTCAGCTCACTTCGCACTTGAGTACGGAGTTCTCGACGCTCTTTCTCATAGTCTTGATGAGTTAACCCTTTGTCATGACCGAATAACCGATTCAGTAATCGCTGAAAGCTTCCCTCGAGGTCATTCGGGTCAAACTCCGTCGCGTGTTTGTTGCACTTTTGCTGCAGAATAATTGGATTAAGTCTTTTCATGAGTACTTCTTGGCCTGGTCGCATTTCCACGCAGACACCTGAGCGAGCCAGCGCCTGAACCCACTTCTGCGTACTTGAGGTCTTGACTTCGATGACTTTGTCGCCGTTGAGGCGGGTTTTGGTCATCTTGTCGAGTACATCACGAGTTACGGGCTCAAAGTCGCTCGAGTTGGGCTTCTTGACACACACCGTGGGGTTCACGAGATCCATCCATCCGCCATTCGCGTCATTCGAGAAGTTGTACGCAGCTTTACAGACTGCACTCGCCACATCGATATAGGCCACAGGAGACGTCGACGTCTCGTTCTCGTAAATGTACAAATGCTTGCGACTCGGTACGAAGAGACAATACTTCCAATCCCATAGAATACTCCCAACAACTTGAGTGGAACCTTGTTCCTCACGACTGATAACTGAGTCCTTTGCGGTTGTTCCAACAGGATGGTCGCTGGTTTGCTCAACTAATGAAGGCAGGAGAGAGTTCTTCCAATCCTTGACAGCAAATAACACACTGGACAGCATGGTGTGCATTCCTAGAGAACCGTCACAGTACTCCGTGAGCTTATTCGCGTACGTTTCGTCACGCTTAGTCGACTTCTCCGTCTCCGTGTTAGCTTCAGAAGGTTGCGACTGACCACGGTAGCAATCGATCTCTCTTACGAGATCCAGAGGGAACAAGCTGTTCGTCCGTGACGAGCTCTCCATCCACATATCTACTTCACGTAAGCGGTAATAGCGATCATCTCGGCATTCCAGTAGCACGGTTCGTTTGCCAAAGCCAAGCTCTGGAGTCACATTCTCCACGTATCCAGCAGCACATAGAGCACTCAACCACTGCAACGCATGCACGTCGTCCATTGGCGCTTGGAGCGCATCCGGATCATACTCTAAGCTCTCGTTCCGCCAGTCTAATTTACACGAGGATATAACTGCCGCGTCCTTGCAATAGACTGTCCACTTGTCGTCCCACAAAACGGAAGGTCGGCGACGGAACCAAGCGATGATGCCGTCGCCAGTAAAGCTCCTTGGAACCGAGACGACCAGCGCACTTGTTTGTTCTCGCATGAAGAAAGTCCCATTCTCTCGAATAAGTTTTTGTCGCTCTGTCCGTAGACGCATCCACTCGTCTCGAGATGTATCTAAGGCAGGGTAAGTGCGAGGCCCGGGTACGGCAGCCAAGTCCAGGAGCTCATTTTCAAGTCCGACCACGATCTCCTTCCGCACTTCATGCGACAGTTTATCCATCGTTCGACCCAAGAACTCGCTGCCTGGATCAGCGTTCACAGTGTGCAGTAAGCGAGACTTGCTCATCTCTTCAACAGACAAAGTCTCGAACGTCTCGAACTGCTGGAGTTCGCGCAAGATGCTAACAATCCGCTTCATAACGACCACGAGAACGGTGTGCAACGCATCGATCTGAGCGTTTTCGGTCGGTGACAGCGAAGTGCGCAGAAGCTGTCGACGCTCGATCCACGTTACTCCGCGAGTAAACATCGAGGACGACTGAGCTTCGAGCTGAAGTTGCTTCTCGTACCACGCGCTTAGCTCGAACAAACGAGGCTGTTCCACATCTTTGGCTTGGTGGCTGGACTTACTGCTAGCTGGTGTCAGTTTGTAGTCGTCGGACGAGGTTGTGAGGCGGACGAATAGAAAACCCACAGACTTGTAGAAAGGGATATTTGCGGACTTGGGAGGCACGATGGGCACGCGCAGAGTTTGCTGTTTACTCCGCAACATGGCAAGATCGATCCTCGCAAACCCAAGCGTGATATCCTTCAACTCGGCATCGTTAGAGTGAGAACCACTCTTGTTCTGGCTTCCCATTTTATCCACAGTACCGTGTTTCTCCATCGTAACTTTAACGTTTACTTGAATCAAAATACTCGACGTGTGCTCGAGGATTTGACACCCGATCTTGGCTTCATTTGGGTCGACAGACTGGTATTTGTAGTCTACTTTTGGTTCCTTCGGGTCTGTAGGCGGCATCTTCTCTACTTTACCAATCACCAACGGGTGATTCTGGAACAGGACGACGCCGGACGCTGCTGCGTCATGGTCATTCGGATCATTCTGGACTCCAATAGTAGCCTCCAATTGCTTGTCTTTCTCCCAGTTCCAAGTTGATTCCGACATTGTTTCGCTAGCGAACAGCTCTCCACGGTCGTTAAAGTAACAGAGATTGGGCTCCTTATGCCTCGGCTTGCCCAGCAGAGTCACACGGCAAGCTAGGTTGTCATTCCTGCCAAGGTGTTTCATCTTCTGCACGTTGCTGTCCTTGACTATAGGCACCACCACGTCTGACGCTGACAACACGTCAATAACAATGCCTGAAACCGTGTGCTGCATCCTGGTCCACTTGTCGTTCTCCTCTTTCATCATATCCAAGCGTCTGGCCATCAACTTTCCCACATTCATCGTCAAGCTATTCACCGGGACGAGTTGACTAGGCGTCACGACATACCGAGAGCTACGCTTCACCGCGTTCGTACTAGCTGATACCTCATTATCGACCACCACATCCAGTCTACCGTCACGTCGCTCCGCCTGTACAACCCCCTTAACATCCAGAGAAATGAGATTTCGAAGCTCGTCAATCGTCTCAATCTCTTCGTCGAAGCGAACTTCGTAGTGATCCTCAGGGAACGGCATGTACCGCTGCACACGTGCTGGATAAAAGCGTCCACCTTCTTCTCCACCACGAAACGCTAGCACTTGTTGTCCGTACTGTAGAAGCTTCAAGTCGTCGTCCTCCACTTCTCTAGATGGCGACAGCTTGTGCAGTTGGAAGCGCTTTAAACACACGTCCAGTCTCTTTTCCTTCTCGGTCAGCAGGTTTGCTACAACCGATTGCTGGTCGCTCTCCACATCTCGCTCGTACATGTGGAGAGAAAGGTACGACACATTGGCGATGTCCTTGACTTTCCCAAAGACAAAGTCCTGGATCGGCCACGATGGATCATGGGCGTTGTAGACAGTTAAGCTTTGAATACGTTCGGCCTCTTCCAATGTGCCGTCTCGGCGAACTGGGACGACGGTGAAGTAAACATTCGCTGCGTTCCGTAGCCGCTGAGTTGAGTTCTGAGTCCTGCTCTTCGTTGAGTCTTCAACAGCTTCAAGTTCGCTTGCAGTGCTGCTACGATCACCAGCTGTAGCGGAGATCAAAAGGTTCTGCGCCTCGTGGATACGCAAGTGAAGGTGCTGAGTATCAATACCGGGATACTTTGCATCACTGAAGATCCCAGGATACGACAGCGACAGAGAGAACTTTTCCTTGGGCCACGTTGCTGTGCTGCAAGTGCCTGGTTTCTTAGACTTAGAGGTTCTAATTGGAGCTCCAGGTTGAAGAATCTCAACCTTATCGTCGTCAAACTCGTCCAGTTCTCGACTCGACTCCGCCAAGACTTCACCTTCTGAGGAGCCCAACGACCTCTCCATCGGCGTGTTTGACATTCGCTGCAGCAAACCTGCCAGTGCCGTTGCATTCGCAACAAATTCCGTTTTGATACACAGTTCTCCTAACTCCTTGGCATCCTCCTTCATCCAAGGCTCGGGCTTTAATTCGTATCTCCTCACCAATTCTTTCGACGAAAATGAGGTAGAATCCACCGATTCGCGACACAAATCGAGCAACGGAATCTCCACACGTCCGAGCGGGGTACTTCTGCCCACTTTATTGTTGTCCTTGACATGAATTAACAGCGAGTTCGCCTCGGAGAGGGAAACAGTCTGCCCAGCACAAAGATACATTAGATAACTACGTTTCTATCACAAACAACATGGAGCTCTCACTTACGTTGCCCAATATGAAGCTCTCGTTCGTCCAGACAGGATTCAGTGTCTTCGACATTACAGCGGTGCGCTTCTTCTCGGCTTTGATAGCCTTTCCAGTGCTACGATCCGTGATGTATAGCGTGCAGTACGGGTCGCTGTAGCCATTCATATCGGCAGGACTAAGTGCATGCCCCGTAAGAATCTCCACCTTCAAAACTGGCTTATCAGGGCTCGTTTCCACAGAATTATCCGAGCGGATTTCGTTATTCGCCAGCTTAGTTCGGTGCGTTGATACTTCTGCTTGCGTACGCTTTGAGAAGATCGTATTGCGTGCTTTACCTGCGCTTCGTTTGCTCTTCTGGGGAGACAACAAAGCGCTTGTACGCTTGCACTCCTCGACACACACGGATGGATCCAGCTCAATCACCGCGTACGGAGTAGCAGCACTGTCAGTCTGCTTATGGTTCGACTTTAGTTCAGATGTCTGCAGTACCGTCACCTCGAGTAATGCCTGTCCTTCCAGTCCCGTACGTGCTTGAAAGCTTTCCTCACTCGACGTTTTCTCTTGATACGCTCGTGGGATCTGAGTGTTTAGGTAGTGGATACACCCGTTAATACCATAGAAGCGCGGGTCGCGGGCCTGGTAGTCAGCCACAGCACACGGAATGCGCGCTCCATCCAGCTTACAAGCCGCGTCATACATGTCAATCTGGGCGTTCTCATACTCAAGCTGTTCGACGGACTGACTGTGCGCTTTCAAGTGAAGCTCCTGGTCGATTTTCAGTCGACGCGCATGTTCACCACGCCTCTCACCGATGAGCCAGATCTTGAGTTGGATCTCGCCAAAGTTGTCGCTTGTTGGCATGTCTTGCTCAGGCTGTAGTGTGTGCCACTCCGTCCACTTATGAGCAGATAGTTGGTCAAGACCGATGAGAACAAACCCAAGAGGATCGTTCCGGTGGGTCTTGTCATGGTCAAGCACGCGCACTTTGAGGCTCGCTGCCGTCTCAATGTGAGAGATCAAGCCAAACACGTGATGTTCATTGGTCCACGCCGGGTTCCGCGTACGATGCATAGTGGCAGTCGTGGCAAACTCACCCGGTATGGGCTTCCCCTGGTCATCCAGCAACGTAAGTTCATAGTACGGATCGGACGAGTCACTGATGAGATTTCTAGCTGCTAGAACCGTCACCTCTAAGCGGTCGTCAGTGTGTTCGTCGCTCGCTGTGGCCACCGGACTCGTCGGTACGAAGTCCAGCTCTACGTTGTGAAAGAAATCCACCAGATTGGGCCCCGAAATGCTCATGTGCACACGTAATTCGCCCCAGGCTTCGGGTTTCTCTACGGAGGACGGTGGCTCTACGCGAAACCATTCATCGATCAGCTCGGATTGCGCTGGACTAGTTGGTGACATGCGGAACCTCGAGAAAGGAACGTCGACTGACCCCAAGCTGTCGTGTCGCTGGAAGGTGTCGTGGTCTTTCAAGACGAATCGAACGAGCTTGACCGTGTTCATGTCAACAACTCTACCAAGCTCAAAGGAAGCTTTCCATACTGGCTCGAGCGTTGAGGAGATGACGTCTGTGCGTTTTTCCTCAACGTCGATGGGCTTTCCATCTTTACCAATGAGCTTCACAATACAGTACGGATCACTCTTCCCGTTCATGTCGGCAGCTTTAAGCTTCCGAGCCTCCTCCACTACCAGTTTAAGAAAAATTCGGGAGGGCGGAGCAGGACGTGGAGGTGGTGGTGGAGGCTTTGGCATTGGCGATGGCTCTGCTGCGGGTTTAGGCAGCTCAGCAGCGGGGGGTTGTGGAGCTACGTCCGGGGTGCGACGGTAAGCGTTATAGATGGCTGTGATCCATTCGTCCTTTTCTCCTTCAGTGTCAGCCTGCATATAGAAACTCGCCTGACCTGGCGCCGCTTGGAAAGCGATACAATTACTGTAACCTTGGTCATTCGTGCCAAGTACACTCGAGTCCAGTGTCAGTTGGTAGCGACGACGTGGAGCTGCGTCTTGTGGCGATTTGGAGTAAGACAACTCGGTGCTTGTCAAGCGGAAGTAGCGCCGACGCCAGTTACCAACGAGTTTTCCTCGTCGACTGCGTTTCTGAAGCCATCCCTCCTTGATGCAGATTTGATCACTCATCGTGGGGGGATGACAGCGAGAATTGGTTCCCTTCTTCTACTGTAGTGAAGCTCTTTCGGATCCTCTCCTCTGTGGTCAGGAGCTCGCTGCTTCACTTGTGTTCATCGCAGGTGTCCCCTCAAAAGGTTCCACTACGCGACGTTCTGCACTTAACGGTTACTTATTCAGCTCGTTTGGGGTCAAGGGATGTAAGTGGAGACTCCTCTTTGAAACACCTCTGTTGCAGTTTCAGAAAGTTGATAGAAATGTGAATTTCTACTCTGCGCTTTGGAGTTTTAAATCTGCAATTAACTGCAGATATCAGTTAACACTCTTCGCGATCTCCAGCATTTCAGTTATTGACGTGACCTTCTCGCGAGGCTTCCCGACGAGTTCGCCGCGGCGGTTCTCCTCAGCGTTGAGACGTTCGTACTCAGCCCAGCTAACGAGCTGCTTGTCCGGGTTACGCTTCTTAACAAGCTGCGTCACAGCCTCCAGTCCACCCAAGTCTTCATCAGCATTATTATCGCTATGAAGGAAATGTCCCGCTGCGAGGTCCTCAACAATACAGCTAACCGTTTCACGTGCGTCTACGATATTGGTGCCAATGATACCTGAGGGGCCGCGCTTCACCCACCCAGTGCAGTACAACCCAACCACTGGACGCTTCTCGCCGTTGCTAGACGTTGTGACAACGCGTCCCTGGTCATTAGATACCACGTGACGATGGTTGTCGAAAGGAGCGTCTGTCTCAATAGGCAGGGACTTGTAGCCGACGCTGCGCAGCACGAGGTCGCACGGAATATCCTCAAACTCTCCAGTGCCAACAGCACGCTGCTGGTTCGCTTCGCCCTCTAGCCTTGTCTTTTCAACACGAAGAGCTCCCACTCGAGTTGGATCCTTCTCATCCGCAAGAATCTCCGTCGGTGAGCGCAAGAACTTGATCTGCACAATGCGTTTGCCGTCGCCAACGCTTTCGAAGTTGTCCGCCGCCTTTATGAGCAATTCGTTCATACGCTTGCGGGCACGTTGCTCCTTGATCTCCTGCTCGGATGCGTTCGTCATACTCCGCTTCATATCCTCAGGGTCCACAATGCAGGCGACACCTTCCAGCTTGGTTAACTCTCGGATCTCCTTCATAGTGAACGCTGCCTGGGCACTGCCACGTCGCCCCACAAGGAAAACCCTCTTGATGCCAGTGTTGCGCAGCACCTCCATCGCATGGGCAGTAATGTCCGTGCTCGCTAGCTGGTCCACATTCTTTAAGAGGATGCGTGCGCAATCAACAGCCACGTTTCCCTGCCCGATGACGACCGCTGTTTCTGCGTGCGCCAGGTCCAGTTCTAAGTCGCGGAAGGCAGGATGTCCGTTGTACCAGTTCACGAAGGTACGTGACGACATGACACCGCGCAGAGACTCGCCCGGGACGCCCAGCTTACGGTCGCCTGCAGCACCGTACGCCAACACTACAGCGTGGTAATGCCGCTGCAGCTCGGCGAGAGATATGTCCTCACCCACGCGCACGTTACCCAGGAACCGGAACCGCTCATTATTCGCCACCTTTTCAAAGTCGCTCATCACACTCTTCACCTCTGGATGGTCTGGCGCCACACCTGAGCGAACAAGGCCGAACGGCGTGGGCAAGGCCTCCAGCATGTCCACACGCACACCGGCGTGTTCCTTCAGAAGGTACTTGGTGGCGTAGAAGCCCCCGGGGCCCGAGCCGACCACGCAGACGCGGCGGCGAGGCACATCAGGGACGGCAGCGCTAACGCTGCGCGCTAGGTTGGCGCCAAGGCTACCACCAGCCTTAACCGCTCGTCTGAGTAGCATACTGCCAATTTGAATTTGAAGGCAATTACCGGTATGTTTGTTTTGACCCATAAACAGGTGCATTTTGGAGGTACATGTACATGTACAGGGCAGAGAATTTTAGGGATCTTTAAATAGTACTTTAACGCTACTATTTTTGAAAAATAATTAGTAAAAAACATTTCACACTTACTACCGAATTTTATAATTGTTTTTGTCAAGCGTACTTGCAACCACTGCCCCACATTTCGTGCTTCAAGATGCTGCGTCGTTTCTTCTCTTCTTCGACTGCGCACCGCATGGTGCAGCAACGCGTGCAGGGGCAACTATCTTTGTTAGCCATGGATTCCTCTTCTCCTTTAACGCGCGTGGTGTTTGTGTCTCGCTCGGCCACTGCTGACCTGCAGAGCTCGCTGCCATTCCCTGTGTCCGCCGCCGCGCTACGGGACTTCAAGGCCAAGCCACAGGAGAAATTGTATCTGTACCCAAGCGAGGACAATGACGCATTTAAAGACCAACGCGTGTTGCTTGTGGGTCTCGGAGACGCCAACAAGGTGACGCCCAACGTCCTGCGTGACGCCACACACGGCGCGTTGAGCGCACTCAAGGCCAAGCGCGCCAAGGACGTCGTGATGCAAGTGCCCAACCTCAAGGACTGTACATTGGACGCTGCGCGTGTCGTGGAGCTGCTGTCCCAGGCATCCATGCTGTCCAACTACCAGTTCGATCAGTACCTCACGGACTCCAAGGACGTCTACGGAGAGAACAAGCTACGACTACCTCTGGAGCAGATCTACCTGGATACGTCAGCTGAGTTCCAAAAGGTGATAAGTGACGGTCGAGTATTATAATATCTCAGAAGACTTACGGGTGGTGCTACGCTGTAGAACGTGGCGGAGCAGGTGGCTGTCGGCGAAGAAACCATCTTTGCACGTAACCTTGGTAAGGTCATACGACGATGGAGTGTGGGTAGTTACTCGATACTGACTATGGTATGATTTGTTACGTAGGCAATGGACGCTCGCACATTGTGGACCCTGCGTTCATGGAGGAGGTGGCGCGTGCGTCGACTGAACTTCCCAATATGACGGTCCGCGTGCTGCAACAGGAAGATCTGGAGAAGGAAGGCATGAATATGTTCCTGAGTGTTGGTCAGGCAGGTGTGTGTCCTCCTCGTCTAGTTATACTAGAGTACAAGGGCAACCCGGACTCGGACGAGAAGGTTGCACTGGTTGGCAAAGGTATCACGTTCGACACTGGCGGCTTGAACCTGAAGCCGACCGGCGCTATCGAAGACATGCACACGGACATGTGTGGCTCTGCTGCTGTACTTGGAGCTGTCCGCGCTGCTTCTCGTCAGGGTCTCAAGGTGAACATCGTCTGCGCCCTAGCTCTGGCTGAGAACGCGATCGGATCCAAAGCTGTGAAGCCGCTGACGATTGTCAAGTCGCACAAGGGCATCACAGTAGAGAACAACAATACGGATGCTGAAGGGCGTCTGGTGCTTGGTGACGCCATGTCGTACGTCCAGAAAGAGTACAAACCCAAGAAGATCATCGATGTGGCAACGCTTACTGGTGCGTGTATGGTTGCGCTGGGTGAGCACTGCGCTGGACTATTCTCCAACTCGGATGATCTGGCCAAGAAGCTACAGGAGACCGGTACAGAGTGCCACGAACGCTGCTGGCGTCTACCGATTCTTCCTGAGCACACTGCCGCTCTCAAGGGTTCGCAGTCGGATTCTCGTAGCACTGGTCGTGGACGCTATGGCGGTGCCTCCACCGCTGCAGCATTCTTGCAGCAGTTCGTCTACGAGGGCATTGACTGGGCACACCTCGACATTGCTGGACCGTCGAACTACAGCTCTCCCAAGTCGTATTTCCCTAAGGGTGCCACGGGTTTCGGTGTCCAGCTGCTCTACACGTACCTGAAGGAGCACGAACAGCACTAGAGGTACTGTCCTTGTTAAAAAGGGTGTTAGCGTAGCATGTCATGCCCTCAAGGACTTATCTACGTCGTGTTTGTTACTCAATAGAAATGGCAAATATGAAAAGCATGTTGAGGCTATGGAATCAGGTAATAGTCACTGCTCTGTGTACAGGTTCCAGACGAATACGCAGCCGTCGTCACCGACCGAGACAAGTTGCCGATCATCCGGACTAAAGGCCAGACCACGAACATTTCCTGAGTGCCCAACGCCGTCCATAATCAACTGGTTGGTGTTAAAATCCCAGAGTTTCACCAGCCGATCGTTGCCGCCAGTAGCGAACACTTCGAGGTTGTGTGCTACAGCGATACACGTGGCTTCTTCGTTGTGGGCTTTCTGGATCACTGTCACTGGTGTGTCGATGCGCAGATCCCAGTATGATATGCGTTTCTCCTGACCAGCACTCAACACTAGACGCTGGTCCGCCGACAGCGCTACGGTGTTGATCCCGCCCATACGCTGGATGTGGCTTGAAATTCTACGCTCATTACGCAGATCCCAGCAGAGCAAACTACGATCTCGACTGCAAGAAATCACGTGCAGGTCGTCACGATACAAGGCCAGACTCGTGACAGCCATCGAATGCTCCTTGAGGTGTGAGACCAAGTCACGTTTGCGAATATCCCACACGCGCACCTCACCTCCGACTCCTGCAGACACGATGAACCGCTGATTGTGACTTAACACAAGTGCTGTGACCCCGCCAGTGTGCGCATTATCGATGGACCAGGCGAACTCACCCGAATCACTGCTATGAGACCGAATACAGCCGTCCGTCCAGCCTGAAATGAGCACGTCTAGCGAATAATGAAGGGATGAGGGAGCGCCAGCATCGCCGACGAAGCAGCGGGTAGCAACGTTGTAGTCCGACGCATCCCAGATACGAATGGTGCAGTCTCGAGAGATGGTAGCGAAGCGGTCGGACACATCGGGAGCGTACGCTACCTGCACGACAGCGTTCGAGTGGTTTTCGGACAGTAATCTGGCCTGCAGACTGCGTTGTGACGTGCCGAATGCAAGCCGAACAGTGAAAATACTACCAGCTTGAGTACCAACGACAGCTTCGTTCTGTGCTGCGTTGAGGGTCAACCCGACGACGCCACTGTCAAGTGCGACGTGGCAAGTATCAATGAAGTGGTGATCATAATGAAGAACACTCCCGTCACCACCGCCCACGAGGATACCGCTGTCAGAGTACACAATGGAGTTCACACCGCAGGAACATGCTGGAATCACCTTAACTAGCTGTCGAGTTTTCACTGTGACAACGCAAAAATCGCCGCTAGAACTGCCAGCCACCAGAACTTCGCGGTCAGGAGAGAACTGCACACACGTGTAATCACGAACGAGTGTCTGCTCGATTTTGTGTTGCGTGAGCTCTCCTGTGACTGGATTGAGGACCCAAAGCTGCAGTAATCGATGTCCGACAGTTGCAAACTGGTAGTTGGCTGTATCTCGACGCTTTACGTCGCGTGCCATGCCTCCGAATGCCACTGCAGTGACGATATTTGAAATCTTTTGGTGCGTGGCGCAGATGTTACCAGTCAAGACGTCCCAGACGTACAGCCGTGGTCCGTCCTCTGGTATCCCCACAGAGCACAGTAGTCGCTCGTCATCCGAGAATGCCAGGGCAGCGACACCTGCGTCGTGCTCGGATAGTCGGAAAGCAAGTCTCCGAGCTGAGTAATCCCAAACGAGGATATCGGCTCGTCTGCCACGTTCGCCCGAAGCTAGAATTCTTCCTGAAGGAGACATCGCGATGCACGATACATTGTCCCCATGGCCACGAAGGAAGAGTTGGCTATGCGCATCTTGGAAGGATGTCAACAATACTGATCCACCGGCAGGATACACGTAGTCTCGACCCGACGGGTGGTAGTGGATAGCGTTCGGTACCGCTGAAAAGCCGATGGTGTGCTCCAACTCCATGGCGGTGGCAACCTGGGACTGCTTGTCGAAACGTTGAAGGGGTTCACTTATAATTGCAGCGAATCCCCTTGAGCTGGTCTTACTGTCGATGGCAGAAACACCTTCGTAACCATGTGCATTGTTACCGCGGTCATACTGCATTACGTCCGGCGTTTTACGAACGACTTCTTGATGCAATAACAAAGTAACCCCTGAAAACATATTTAGCCACGCCTGCTACCGATTGATGTCTGCAAGTACTAGCGGAGATACCAAAATCTTATGCGGCCATCGTCCGTGATTCAAGCGCACAACCCCAAATTGATCGAAAGAAATCAACGACACACAATGGTCCGTTTTGGCTGGTGTTCTACCGTACGGTGACTATCACTGAGAAATCAGGATCAGCTTTTGATGCTTTTCCTTGGCGCAATGACTGTAAGTAGTCTACCAGATGCAATTCCGATTTCGGAATGCGGGACGAGGTGCGATGAGAGGCTAACCAAAAGCTCAGGCTGAATTCGACAGGGTAACCAGCAGAGCAAGGTAAGCATGGATTAGTGAGATACCTCACTCGTTGGCGTGGGTAGACTCACATTGGGGATTGACAGCATCATGGGTAGAAGCATCCAGCTTCCGGGAGGTGCACATGTACCAGCAGTTCCAGGCCGATATCACGTCGTCCCCCCGCCAGATCTGAATGAAGTGACGGATAAGAGGTTCTTTCTCGAGTACGACTTCCCGTTTGTTATTGTACGTGAGATAGCCTTGGAGAGTGGGTCGAACGAGGAGGCAGTGGATGTAGTTATCCAAACAAGCAACTGGAAAACCAAACACCCAAACGTTGGAGGTTTCTTCGTACTTGACCGCACCGGTTTTCAGTTTAATCACCCGAGTGCTAGTCATGAAGATGGCTGTCATTTTCAGCTCATTCCCAGCATTTCGTACGTTGATCGCAGAACTTGGTCAAGTCTATCCGATCAAGACAAGGACAAGGCATACCTGCCATGCATCCCAACGGTGGTTGTTGGACTGGTGACTCTTACAGAAGCGCTTAAGGATCTACAGACCAAGGTGTCCAAGTTTGTCACCTGCGGCACTCGTGAAGGACTTGTGGTCGACACCAGAGACAATCGAGTGTGGATCTTCAATCAAGGGGAAGAACCAACCTTCGAGGCCTTGGACACCGTTGTATTCGATACTTGGACTGGGTTTGAGCTCGACTGCATCGCTATCCGAGATGCTCGGGCTCGTGCTGGTTTGTAATATTTCTGCGCATAGTTCTTAGTGTCCAATATGTTGCTGTGTCATTTACGCAGACCGAACCAAGACTCAAGTACACGAAGAACTGACAGCAGATTGTTAAAATACAGCACACAACTATTCGTTAAGCAAGAAAAATCTTGTTCTGGCCCTTGCAGTGACTTTTGTAGGACTTCTGTGACCTCCAACAAGATTCTCTGCATACTCAAAACAAAGAATAACTGGCCGACCGGCAACCAGTTATCTTCAATAACTGGAGCTCGAGAGAGTATCTTGGGTCCATTTCTACAGTGTATGGGTCTCGGAATGACATCAAGCCTACTCCTGTTGTGTCCCAATCTCCAGAAGTCCCGTGACACCCACATAACTCAAGCACGTGTAGTACGGAGGCAAGTCATTCTCCTGCATCCACTGAGCCACATCGAGACCGATATCTTCCTGTCGGTCGAACAAATTCAATCGCAAGACGCCTCGTGAGAGAAAAACCCGCAACGGAAGCTCGAAGCTTTGCATCTAAATGAAACCCAAAGCCTACCGTCAGTATCTCATCCGCCGCAAGTTACCATCAGCGATGCGTACCTTCATATCTTTGACAGCACTGAAAGTCATGGACTCGTAGACCAACGTATCGATCTCTCCGTCCTCTCCCAGCTCATACAAAGCGAAGGATATTCGTCTCGGCGAGTACGTGGGGCTGCCAGGATACCAGAAAACCCGGTACGGTACCAGCTGCACACTGTTCACCAGGCAGTTTTCCCACAACGTGTAGTCCAGATAATCTGTCGTCTTGTACCCCCACGTCGAGGCACTGTACATTCAATACCACACACCAGTCAGCCTCTCCACACCGACACTTTATCCTTATGTCTGCACTCGGACCTGCTCCAGTAACACGGTTGTCCTCTAGCACAGCCACAGTCCAGCTGGAGTCTCTTGGCGATAGCCTCAAAGGCCAAAGGATCGTCGACCACTACCGTATTGGACAGCACAGACACCCCAACGCCACAGTTCGACCTCGTCAACGTGTTTTCTGCTGACTCATTCGAGTGATCCACGGACGAACACTCTGCAAAAGATGCACGTGTTAAGAATTAAATACACTATGGAATTATTATTTTTTAGGTTTCTCGTACCTCTTACTCGTCGCAGCATCGACAGTTCCTCGCTCACGGGGTGATACGTCAGCAGCGTCAAGCGTTTCCAGTCCGCAGAACTTCGTTCGCTGCAGTCAATCGCATACAGAGCCACACGCTGCGCTAGAACTCGCCAGGAATCTGTGTTCAGTAGGAAAACTAGGTCAGCTTAATGGGCATAACTTTGAAGAGGCGGAACGACGCACCACGCTGGACGATGCTGTCTCGCAAGTGGCGGCTCACAGTCTCGAGATGCAGTAGCGTCGTATGGTCTGCAAACTGCAGCGTCGCCGCCAGTAGATCACTCGGCAACTCGGTCAGTCCCATGCGTGTAGCTTCTAAGCAACAAAGTTGAACTTGCACATCCAACTACAGTGGTGTCTATTTACGGAATCTGTGGGAAATAGTAACCTACTAGATCAAATACAATTTTGATGCCTTTGTGAAACGTTTTACTCTTTAAATTTTATAAACCTACTGTATTGACTACATTCCATCTTTCATTACAATGAGATAAACTCCTGATCGTCTTACAAGGCTCAAGTCGATTGTATTCGCCTGTACAATGCCATGTCTAGTCTTCCCAGCGCTTCAGCGCCTGGCGGAGCATGCGTTGGAACTGTGAGGTGGCAGCACGCTCCTTCTGGATCTCGACTCGAAGACGCTTCATCTCGCCCACCGCCTTGTACTTCTGCGTCGACTCGCCCCCCGCTCTCAGTGCTCCAAAGCTCTTTCGTACACTTTGCATCGATACTTGCACTGGTTTCTTCACAACAGTGCAGTGGCGCTTAGTAGAATCCAACAGCTGCTTCGGAGTTGACGTGTGCACAGCATCCACAAGACTCGAGACACTCGATCCGAAGCCTCGCCAGTCCGCTGGATAGTAGATTGTCATGTCGCTCAGCGTCTCGAAGAACGTGTCGTAAATTTCCTCGAAGATCTTCCTCCAGGGCAATAAGACGTCTGCCTCTTGTGGCGTCACCTGTTCCGTCTTGCTATCTTGACTCAATCCTTCATGGATCGGAAGTAACAAACAGTAAATCCTCTTCTTCAGCTCGTACGTCGACACCGCAGAGGCCGCCGGATACGCTACAAACAGTCGGTCGATAAACTCCTCCACCTTCTTAAAGTACACGTCACAGATTTGATCACGATGCACAGGGGACGTCTCGACCACGATGCGAGTAGCTTCAAGCGCTGTTAGCACAGACCGGATCTCAAGTTGCCGCTCCTGCGAGTTCCAACCACGTGGGGGGTCCACAACAGCGAACTGAAGCTCTGGCGGCGGGTACACGAGGTCCATGACACCGGACGATAAAACATCTTGCCGCACACGTGGGAAGACAGCGCAGATGTTACTCTGGATGCCAATGGACGACTCAAAGCGGTACATCATCGCCTTGACACTCCCTTCTAGCAGTTCCTTCAAGCCGACGCTCTTGAGGTGACGTACAGGGGGCGACAACTCGGCGATCTTCTTCAGCATTCGGCCGAACTGTACAGGAAGTTGAGCCCCTGCATCGACGAGCTCAACACCGACGTGAGCCAACTGCGTTGAGAATCGACGCTGCACTCGTTCGACACAGCTCTCAAGCGTATTGAAGAGTTCTGCTCGTGTGGTCATGATGTCTGCTGAAGCGAACCCCACAGCCAGCACAGACACGCGACACCCTCTGTTCAGTAACGACAGCAGCTCTCCAAGTTGCTGCTCCCAGACACTGCTCTTCCCAGCTTGCTGTAGTACACTCAGATCGACCGGTAGTAAGATGGCTGACGTAGCAGCGAGCTTGTGTTGCTGCATCTCCCGCGAATTCCGCTGACCGAACGTTGAATCCAGATACCGACTGCACACAGCGACACCGGTACTTGACTGGTAGCTGCGTTGACAGTCGTGCTCAGGTGTAGAAACATCCTGCGCTCCAGCTCGAACTGCGCACCACAATCCAAATGACGATGACGCTCCATCCAGCAGATCTGCGATTACCAATTTCCACGCGATAGACGGCACTCCAAGGTTCTGTCTACGAAGAGGAGTTCCAGCCAGTGCCAGCATGTCTTCAGACTGCCACAGCGCCAAGAGTTCTTCGTTCGACGGCGTCACGGGCTCATCAGCTATCGGTAATTGCTTCACTCGCTTCGTGCCGATTGCTGATGCTCCATTAGCACCTCGGAAAAGCCACTGCATACTGTCTCTCGCCTTTTGATGAGGCTGATCAAGTCGAAGCTTCGACGCTAGTGACACTGGCCCAGGACCGTCACGTGACACTTGCACGTATATCTTCCACAGATGCAGTCTCAGCTTCAGCACAGCAAGTCGCTGCTTCTCAATGCGACGCACTCTCTTCCGTTCAGCTCGTTCCTTTGCCAATTGAACTTGTCGTTGCGCCTCCAGTGCAGCTTCACGCGCTTGACGTGCTTGCTCCTCTGCCAGCTCCTGCTGACGACGTCGTTCTCGCTCTTCTGCTGCTTTGCGACGAATTTCTTCTTGTCGCTTTGCCTCCTGTCCACGTCGTTCGTCCTCCGCTGCCTTTATCCTCAGAGCCTCCGCTTGTTGCAGAGCAGCAAGTCGTTGTCGCTCTGCTTCACGAGCTGCTGCTTCAGCCTCTCTGCGCTGTTCTTCCAGCTCCCGCTGCTTCTTTTGTTCTCGTAACTGCGCTTCCAGAGCTTCTTGCTGCTGCTTCGCTTCGGCCGCTTCTTTTTCCGCTTTAACTCGGGCAATCGCTTCCTGTTTCTTCTGGTCTTCAAGTTGAGCAGCCTGACTAGCAACAGCCTTCTCCGCATGCTCACGTCGAGTCTTCTCCTCTTTCGCTCGTTCCAGCTCTCGCATTCGCTCCAGCATCGCTTGTTTCTTCTGCTCAAGCTCCATCTTTCTCTGAGCAATGGCACTAAGCTCATGCCTTTTCTGATCGCTTACTCCCGCTTGGTGTTGAGCTTGAGTACTCACTGGAGCTGTCATGGACGCTCCGTCGTTATAATCAACGAAGTAAGAGTAGTCGTCCTCATACGCTGGTCTCTCTGGGTACAATCTGGCCTGCTCCTCCCGTTCAGCGTCTTGAATCAACTTGCTAAGAGCTGGATACTCATCTCGAGCATATTCCGTCACGCCGCGACAGATGTCTCGCCGTAGATAGTTGCTATACACACACAAGGGGATAGAAGTAAGCAACAACTCGACCTGCAAAAAAATCAGTAGTGCATACCCTTGCTTCATGCCAACGTAAATCTTGGAGCTGCGAACCTTCAACGGCGTATTGCTCCGTCGTAGCTGGGCATCTGCACCAAAAGCCAATATACAAGTGTCAGCTCCATGTGACGAACCACCAGCCATAGCGAGACATCCATACCGGTTTCAAAGTCGCCGCCAAACTTCACCATAATGGAACTGTCATCACCAGCACCTGGTCTGCCCGATATCTTCAGCTGATGTTCTTCACACACTGCGTAGGCGTGCTCAATGTCGTCGAAGCATAGCAACTCTACTAAGTCTTCTAGAGGATATGTCTGGCTGCGATAGGCTCGATTCATACGGAGCAGAGTGGAAGATCGCACGTTCGGGATGTACCGGAAGAGCAGACACGACTGCAGATACGTCGCTTGACGTAGCAGCGAGAAAAACTGAAAGTAGTCGCCTGTATGACGAGCGACAAACACGCGCATCGCGAACTTCATGTGCGGACTCTCCAGGATATGACGCGAAAGGTTCTTCACATATTTCAACACATCCATACCACGACCATTGTCCAGCGTACACAGGATGAAATACGCGCGACACTCCGCTTCAAACGGGCTCAAGTACGCTGGATCCCCGACCTTGTGGCTCTCGTCGTACAGTTCGTTCAGCGACTTGAGCGTTTGGCCAAGCTGCTCCATGTTCTGTTGCGCCACGAAGCTTTGGACTTCGATGAGTTCGTGTTCGCTGAGCACGTGATAGCGCGCGATACGCTCGTGAATGTCAAGCGCAATGGGGTGCACTCGACCGCCAGCGCCACGATAATTCTGGAGCACGAAATCTTTGCGGATCATTCGAAATCGGTCCCAACAGAAGTTGTACAGCTCGATAGGCTCCGGGATTCGAGGCGTCTGGAAACGAGGATCCAAGCCACACTGATCCAGGTCCATGATAGCCTGCTCGATATACAGCTGTGTACGTCGCAGAACACCGGGAGGACGGATCTCCTCGGCGATATCCAGCTTGTGGTCTGCTGAACTACGCTGGAACCGCTTGATGATCATGTCGCGCTCGGTTCCTGGGCGATCAGGGAAGCACTTCTCGAAGACGCTCAACTCATCGACTCGGATATGTAGCTCCCGTTCTGCTGGACTACACATGTCAGCACAACGTCCATCCAGGTTTTTAGCAGCTGACAGTTCAGCTTTACTGCTCTCGTCTCGGGATGAAGCAGTAGCAGACGACATGATTGCAAACGAAGTCTCGTCATCACTTGTGCTCGGCACTTTTTTCTTCTGTCGCCCTTGTCGATGTTTCCCTTGTCTTTCATGTGTTGGACTTGTCTTAGGCGCCTTAGCCTCCCCGAACGCATCTCCATCAGGAGGGAACTTAGGACTGATCCTAGGTTTCAACTGCTGACCATTGAAGGGATTCGTATCCTGTTCCGGAACGCGTTTGCCCTTCCCGAATGATTTCTTAGCTCCATTCATTCGCGCCTCCATGGCCGAGTTCGCGAAGCCTCCAGCTGAAATATCCGAGCCAAATTTCGGACCGGTCTGTCGTCGTTTATCGGTAGCACCACCGAATGCCGTAGCCGCGCTACCAGGAGGAGAAGGCTTTCCAAATGACGGGGAAGTCTTAAAGCCATTCCCACCCGATCCACCAAAAGTAGTCTGGACAGTAGGCCCACTCAAAGCCCCACCACTTCTGGCTGTAGATGCGAATGGGTTGTCTGCACGAGCAGAGGAAGCTGCCTTTGGGGTGATCTGTTTCTTGCGCACTTGAACTCCTGACGCCTGACTCCCAAACGAAGTACCTGGCGATGATAATGGTGTCGGTACTCCAGTACTTCCAGACCCAAACCCGTCAGCCTCTTGTGAGAACCCCTGCGTAGATGTACCGAAAGCTATCGGTCCACTGTTGAAGCCATTGTCACTCCCACCGAACGCTGTGCTTCCTCCACCGAATGCAGCCTTCGGAGCACTTCCTCCGAGCCCTGAACCTCGATTCTTGCCAGGATTCGACGCTGTTCCAAACGTCGTGTGTGCACCGGCTGATACATTGGAAGACGCCACGCCGGTACGTCCAAATGACGTCGAGCTGAACGTCGTCCTGGAACTGTTCTGAGTCTTCTTGCTGCTCTGCTGGCCGAACGGATTCCCGCTAGTTGAAGCTCCACCAAATCCTCCTGATGACACTGAAGATGCCCCTGCTAAGCCTCCAGGCGGAAGAGGTGGCTGGTTTGCAAATCCGCCACCTAAAGCGCCCGCCATGCCGCCCGGAGGGAGGGGAGGTTGATTGCCGAAGCCGGAGCTCTGTCCGAACGTCGTCTTCACGGCTGAAGCATTACTATTGGGCTGGAAGGGATTCACTGGCGTCGGTCCTGGACATGCGAAGGCATCGATCAATACCTGGAAGACTCAAACACTGGCTGCTATAGAGACGAGAGAACGTGAAGCCCTCCACGAGAGCCGCTCGTCCACCTGCACTGTTATTCACAGCACGAGCACGTCCTCCCACACGCCAAAGAGAACAGAAGTAGATACGTAGCCAGTCGTACCTTGATTTTGGCCAAATGGATTGCTACCTTGCGTCCCGAAGCTTCCGAAGCCGCCACTTCGATCTACGGATGATGGCAAAAGATGTGTCAGCTCAGAGCTTGGCAACCACGTGGCCAATAGCGGCACAAGAGGGAGGAACGAGGAGAATATAGGGAATGAAACGCACTGCCGGAGCTGAACATTGCAGCGTCGACTATGGAGTTGCTGTACACGAGCCTACGTCAGGTCGGCCGCCACCTTAGGAGCTTTGAGACTACTGTAACTGTACCCCTGGGATAGAATTTGTTTCTAAACATTTTTTTTTACTATCGTACTTAATCAGATCTTTAAGCTATGCATTTCTAAACGTGCCTTCCTGCGCAACCTGATTGGTTGTGGCCGAGGGACTTAGTGAGTCCAAGTCAATTTAAGGACTGGAGAGCGGCAACCACCAATTCTTTCAGCCAGTGACCCCGCTAGCTGTTGGTGGGCTCCAAGTTCCAAATTGCCCGCAACTTTCTGAGTAACTTCGCGCGAAGGTAAATGCGCGCTCATGACGGGCCTCCAAGCAGGAACAACACTCACCTGTCTTCCCCCTCGTTGTGCCTGTAGTTGAAAAGATGGTGAAGCACAACAACGTCATCCCCAACGGCCACTTCCACAAGTACTGGGAGTCCCGAATCAAGACTTGGTTCGACCAGGTAAGACAGCCGCGAGCAATACCCACAGCCAGCTAGCAGCGTTAAGCGACACACCGTCTACAGTCTCTCCATAAGTGAACAATTCTGCTCGAGGAGACATACAGGTCATTCAGCCACACGAAACGACACGCAGTTAGATCATTAGGCATCAAGAAGGGCATCTACAATGGAGAGACGTGCAGGACCGTGTGCTGGCTCAATTGCTGGCTGGCTGGTGGATACAGGAAAGATAGCAAGTGTACTGATCGCCACGATTTTATTTGACGTCCATAGGCTTCCAAGAAGAAGACCCGTCGTCTCAGACGTAAGGCTAAGGCTGCTGCCATCGCCCCGCGTCCGGCCGCTGGTCTACTGCGCCCCGCTGTGCACTGCCCCACGATTAAGTACGGCTCGAAGGTCCGTGCTGGCAGGGGTTTCACCCTGGAGGAGCTGAAGGAGGCTGGCATTAACCGCAAGCAGGCCATCAGCATCGGCATTGCCGTCGACTTCCGCCGCACCAACAAGTCGGTTGAGTCGCTTCAGGCCAACGTGCACCGCCTCAAGGCCTACAAGGCTAAGCTTGTGGTGTTCCCGCGCAAGAGCAACAAGCCCAAGAACGGCGATGCCCCCGCTGAGGACGTGAAGAACGCTGTGCAGCACACCGGCCCGATCCTCCCGATCACCCGCTCGAGCATCAAGTCGACCACGGCCGTCATTACGCCCGAGATGAAGGAGAAGAGCGTCTTCACTCAGCTGCGTGTGGCTCGCGCCGACAAGCGTATCCTTGGCAAGCAGGCCAAGCGTCTGGCTGACAAGAAGGAGAAGAAGTAAGTGTCGTTTGCGTCGACATCTGCTCGTCTGCCCTCTTGACCGACTCGTGTTAAGAGGTTCGGCACTCCCTAAGGTCAATTGCGGAAAATTGGAACACAATATATCGCGCATCAAAACAATAATCGTGTCATCGTGGTGAAAGCTTACTGCATGCATGACAGAAGGTGTTAGAGCTTCAAGTACAGTCCTGTTGTGCTCATTGCATGTTAAATTATCACTTTGTACTTTGCTGCACGTAAGGAGAATGACCTTTATCAGGTTTTGAAGAAAGCATTCTTCCTTAACCCCTGAGCTTTAACCAGAGTTGCGAAAAAATGTTGTGCTTTCTTGGTCCGGAACCATAGATGCCGGTACATTATTATAGTCGCTCAAAAACTCGCTCAGCGAGTCGCTGAGGTACTGGAGGCTCCAGTCTGGAGCCGAGCCAAACTATTGCAAACCGGCACGAACTCGAGCATCACGAATAGCGATGCAGTCAAGCTCAAAACCAGGCCACATATCGAATACAACGGTGTCCAAGGCCTCGAAGGTTGGTTCTTCCCCTTGATTGAAGATCCACACTCGATTGTCTCTGGTGTCGACCACAAGTCCTTCACGAGTGCCGCAGGTAACAAACTTGGACAGCTTAGTCTGTAGATCCTTAAGCTCTTCTGTTAGAGTCACCAGTCCAACAACCACCGTTGGGATGCATGGCAGGTATGCCTTGTCCTTGTCTTGATCGGATAGACTTGACCAAGTTCTGCGATCAACGTACGAAATGCTGGGAATGAGCTGAAAATGACAGCCATCTTCATGACTAGCACTCGGGTTATTAAACTGAAAACCGGTGCGGTCAAGTACGAAGAAACCTCCAACGTTTGGGTGTTTGGTTTTCCAGTTGCTTGTTTGGATAACTACATCCGATGCCTCCTCCCCCGACCCACTCTCCAAAGCTATCTCACGTACAATAACAAACGGGAAGTCGTACTCGAGAAAGAACCTCTTATCCGTCACTTCATTCAGATCTGGCGGGGGGACGACGTGATATCGGCCTGGAACTGCTGGTACATGTGCACCTCCCGGAAGCTGGATGCTTCTACCCATGATGCTGTCAATCCCCAATGTGAGTCTACCCACGCCAACGAGTGAGGTATCTTACTAATCCAAGCTTGCCTTGCTCTGCTAGTTACCCTGTCGAATTCAGCCTGAGCTTTTATCTGTCGGTAGCTTCTCATCGCACCTCGTCCCGCATTCCGAGATCGGAATTGCACCTTGGAAATATTGTGTGTTTAGTAGACTACTTACAGTCATTGCGCCAAGGAAAAGCATCAAAATGCTCTGTTTAAATTTCGGCTTTCACGGTGTTGACATTTCTAACTCTATCCTCAAACTCGCACGTCTGCATAGGCTTCTGGCTCCAAGAGCAGCGGCTGCTTCTCGGGTTCGTCCGGCAGCATCAAAATTGATTTACGTTTGCTCCGATCTCCTGCAGCGCTAGTGCTTTCTGAAGTGTCGACCTTCTCCGGTAACACACCAAGGAAGACCAGGACAAGAAGTTGACCGACAGAAGCGATCGCCACAACCAGCCAGAGATTTCTCCAATCTACAATCTTCGTGGTCGAATCAGGCACAATGCCTAGTGCCGACACTAAGAAGGAGGAAAGTATTCCTGATACAACTCCACCAAAGTCCATGAACGAAAGAAACAAAGCGTACGTGAGTCCTTGGACGTCCGGGCTGGCTGGACAGTAATACGTGGCCACGACTAGCAGCTGCAGTAATGCGAACTCGGAGGTGAAGGACGTGAGGAACGTCTCCACCGTGCTGAATGTGCACACTGAGACTGGGAGATCGACAACAGGAGGCGCTAGCAACAACCGCGGAAGGCCAGCGGCAACGGAGCACAACGTGGAGAGGAGGAAGACGCTTCGAACGTTCTTGTTGGTGCACCACTTGGCGTACGATAGACACGAGAGGAAGCGACCGATCATACCTGCCATAGACATGTACTGCACGCACTCGTGCTCGTCTTTAAGGAGTGAGAACGTGTACTGGTACCAGATCGTCCCATCGCTTGGCAGTGCGTTGCACAGGAAGAAGAAGAGCATGGGAGGGAGTACAGGCCGTATAAGCTCCATCTTGAGGTGCAGATCATGCTTGAACGGGAGCCACCAGGACGTTAATGTGTTGGCCCACGAAGACGCTGGGATCAGCCTATCGACTTCAATAGAGCGCTCTTCTTCACTAGTTAGAAACTCATAAACTGGTGTTTCTTTCAGTCCAAGAAGACAAACTGCCCCTGCTGTAAGTGGCAGTAAACTGGTCCAGCCGATGACTTGTTGTGGCTTTATATTCTTGTTCATGTACACAGGGACGCCCAGTACTAAGGCCGCAATCGACGCAGCGTTCTTCGTTCCATTGGCCAGTGACTGCACGTGAGCGCTGCTCCTACTTGTGGCATCTCCCGTTGTGAGATCTACCAATAAGATGCCGAGCATGAGCTGGGCAAAGGCCTCGGCGATGGCGTCTACCAGTTTGACGATGAAGGCGCCGGCGATAGAGTGCACGTAGGCAGCAGTAAGTACCAGCGACGTGGCTGCACAGACCTCGCAGATGATGATGTACGACTTGCGGCGATACCCGAAGAGCGGGAGACTGTCGGACAAGAGACCGTAGAGCGGCTTGATGTTCCAGGGGAAGAAAGTGACCGAGTAATAGAGCGTCGTCGTGGCTGGAGGCATATGGAGCACATCGAAGAGCCATTCTCCGTACGCAGTCATGGGGAACGTCATGTAGAAGGCGTGTATGAAGTACAGAGCCAGCAACGACAACGGCATCCTCGGCGTCGATGGTGCCATCTTGACAGATTCGCCGGACACATTACCATGATAATCAGGTGTATCACACGGTATATTATGCTTTTCATTGGTTAAGAAAATATCACCTGATGATTCGTTAAAATCATTAGCAAATTTCCTCCAATCACAGTAATTATTGCTCTATAACAAGTCACTTTGTCCATCGCCTGGCGGAGGAAGCTCGAGAGGCTTGATGGTGTTCAACATCGATGAGGCCGAAGACTTTGACGATGGCACGCGCGCCATAATTCACTCAGATGCGGCATTTGAATCAGATAACGAGACGCAGGACTCGACGCGTCTGCGCTCGTCCCGTAAGCAGCGACTGCAGGCGGAGCGCAAAGGTAGCAAGCAGCGCGAACAGGCGTCAGCGTTGCGCGTCAAGAACTGGGATGCGGGTTTGATGGAGAGCGAGGAATATGCAGGGAAAGTGGTAAAGCGCAAGGATCTGAGCGAAGGCATGGAATCGCCTGACGAGGACGCGATGGCCGAGTGGTCGGACGCCGAGTCGTTCGGTGCGTCGGACAATGACGAGGCGGAGGAAGAAGAAGAGATAGAGGAAGTAGAAAGTGAAGAGGAAAGTGATGACGAGGATAAGAGCGCTGAGATGCTTATCCGCGGCTTCCAGAAGGAAGATTCGGCTCGTCTAATGGGTGCACAGGACAGTGAGAAGGTCGTGGAGAAGGCCAAGCACGTGCGCAACCAGAAACTCATCTGGGAGCGTTGTCTGGAGGTGCAAATCTACACTAAGAGACTGCTAACGACAGCCAAGGAAGCAGCAGCTCACGAGACGGACGGAGAGACGACAGATGAAGAGATGGTGACCAAGACAAAGGAACAGGTGGTAGCTGAGCTCTACAACAGCATCGACGCTGTATCTGCCTTGCAGGAGAAACTATGCAACGTTCCTGAGCTAAACGCTGCCGACACAACGAAGAAGCGTAAACGCACATGCGACGACTTGTGGCAGGAGATCACGACCAGCAACCGCGCGATGCTTCCTCAGTACAATGACGTCCTCAACACATACACCCGCAAGACAGACTTGGCAGCAGGAGGCAAGACCAACCAGGCCAAGAAGTTTAAGGCTGTGAACCAAGACATCCTGGCTCAAGTCGAGTCCGTTCTCGTGGATCCCCAACGAGTCAAGCGCAAGGCACACGCTCCGTTAGACGCACCAGAGTCCGAAGCAGCAGAAGACCAGCTAGACGAACTCATGTACGACGACTCGGACTTCTACCAGCAACTTCTCAAGGAATTCATCGAAAGCGGCGGAGGTGGCGCTGGCCAGGACGCCTTGGTGAGACGCACTCATCGCAAGAAGAAGAAACTCGTCAACCGCAAGGCCAGCAAGGGCCGCCAACTGCGCTACACAGTGCACCCGAAACTCGAAAACTTCATGTTCCCAGAGCCTTATCCCAGGGCCGAAATGGACGTCACCGAGCTCTTCCGCTCGCTTTTCGGTCAAGTCCGACAGTAAAGACGCGCAAGAGACCGATAGAATAGATTCATTTTCTGTGCTTGCTTAAGTCTTTCTTCCACTCTGGAAGATAATAACGCGCCAGCTTCATCTCTTACAGCACGTCGTCTTCTTCTTCCTCTTCCTTCTCTCCTGATAGATACAGTTCCTTAATCTTCGCCAAGTTTGCTTCCACCTCTCGCAGTCGCACGTCATTCACTCCATTGGCGCCAATCTTCTTGACGATCCCGACTAATGTCACGGCCTTCTCGGCCACATGCACGACAGCTCTCGCTCGGATCCTCTTGGCTCGTGTGGCATTCTCCAGTGACTTGAACTCTTCCTCCGCCAAGTCCATCGAAGCATCAGCTAACACCGCAGCAGAGTCGATAAGTTGCGTGCCACGCTCTTCAAAGCGCTCGGGGATGTTGAGCGTGTGCAGTTGACGCACTTCTGCTGCGTACGAGCCGCTCTTAAATACTTTGTGCTTGAGCTTCACCGCGTCTTTCAATAACTGCGTGAACTTGTCGATCAGTTCCGGTTTCCCTTTGGCAATCGCGCGCATGGTAGCAGGGGCGTTAAGGATCTGCACACGCTTGGCAATCAACTGGCCGGCGTCACGTTCCAAGAAGGAAAGCCCCCAAAGACGTCCATACGCCTTTCCAGCATCCAGACGCTCTTGTTCGGAGAAATACCAGTCGCGTGTGTCCTTGTTCTTGATGAGAAGACGTGATGACCAGGTCTGAACCGAGTCCGTTCCGAGAGAAAGACCGTAGTCCTCGAGTTTCGGACCAATTGCCTTGTAAAAAGAGATCGCGTCTTCATCGGTAGACAGCGTCGTTGTCAGGAGCTTGGAGATTAAGCGATTAACTTCCTCTCGGTTCTCCACGAGCTTCTTGTTGCTTTCCTTCCGTGCCTTCTTCTCCAACTGTTCGATCATACTCATACCGCCAGGTCCTTTTGGTTGCTGGGATTCATCTCCGAAGATGTCGTCGATTGCACTCTCTGCAGCGGCGAGTTCTTGGGCCATTTGGTCTTCGACTGAGCGCAGTGGCATCCCATCCACTCCACCGCTGCTGCCACGACCACGTGCGCCACCGCTTATGGTTCCTCCGTTTGATACTGCATGAAGCACACAAGATTACGAACACGATCATATAATACTCTCCAAACGAACGGCAGCTTACCTTGTTGGATGATCTGCTGATGCTGCATCAGAATGCTGAAGAGCTGTTCCATTGAGACTGGGCCAGTAGGAGAGGCTGGGGCTTGAACCGGTGGCTACAAAATCTCGGTCAGTATAGTATTGTTGCAGCTACTAGCACCGAACAACTTACACCTGGATCATTGGGCGACACCTCGTCTGGACGATCGAGAAGATCCGGATCCACCTCTTCCCCCTTCATCTTGAGCTTGATCAGCTCGTCAGCCATGCCCATTTGTCGCAGTTTGAAATATTTCTGAAACTTCGGGTCGTCTCGAACTTTAAGGGGGTCGTACGGGACAACGGGGGCCGCAGCGGGCATTGAAGGCCAGCTAAAGCCCCCGTTTCCTTGCAGTGGAGACAGCGGTGCCATCCCATTGGACGAATACCCGGACGAGAATTGCATCGGAGGCTAGCAAGACACACGAAAGCTGTCAGAGAACCTTCACGCGGTCGTTCTACTAGCACTCTAACAACTTACACCAGGGTCGTTCGGTGACACTTTGTTCGGAGTGTCCAGGAGTGTCGGATCCACGCCGTCAGCCTCCATTTTCAGCATGATGTGGTCCTTTGACATGTTCATACTCTTCAACTTGAAGTATTTTGTGAACGCCGGGTCTTCCGCCACAGTCATCGGGGTGTAGGCTCCCTTCTCCGGCTGATAGCAGTCAATAAACACCATGTTACACAAAAATTTACACTGCGAGACATAATAGTTCAGCGTACACCCGAGTCGTTGGGCGATATGGCATCGGGCGTGTCCAGTAGATCAGGACTAAAGCCGTCGGTCTTCATCTTCGCCTTGATCTGCTCAATCGGTATGTCCAAGCCCTTCAGTTTGAAATATTTTTTAAAATCCGGGTCGTCCTTCACCAGTAGCGGCGTGTACACACTAGCCACCGTCATCATACCTCCCGACTGAGACGCATAAGCCACGCTCTGTGTCTTCGTCTCCAGCTCCGTGAGTTTCTGTTGCAGCGCCTTAATCTCCTTCAAACTAGCGCCAGAAGAGCCTCTTTCTCTTGTCACGGTAATCTTTTTGTCTGCCATAAGTTGCGAGATTTGCTTTTGCAGTTTGTCAATAGACGAGCTCGTGCTGGCGGAATCGCTCTTTGTTGCCAAATCTAGCAGCTTTTTGATCTGATTGGGTGTAAGTCCAGGGACGGCGATGCCTCCACTGGCTTTGCGACCTACTGACAGCGGGGCGTGGGCCACATCTTCACTCTCCGAGTCGCTCTCGTCGTCTTCTTCTTCCGATTCGTCCTCTTCCTCCTCCTCGGCCGCTTCTTTCTCCATCCTCATCTTTATGCAGAGGTTGCGGTGAGCACGAGCGTGTCTCCTCTTGCACGTCTGCTCTCATCCATACATAGTTAGTGACCATTCATGTAAGTCTTAGTCTTATTCTCGTTTTTGTTTTTCACTTGCCTCGTTGCAGTAATAGGCTTTGTTGCAGATGCTGCAGGACAGCGAGGCATTGGACGTCGCGCAGTAAGCGCAGTCCTCGCCCGAGCTGACCGCGAAGCCCATGCCCATGCTGGTCAGGCGGCTCATGAGCTCATCGTCGCTGTCGCTGTCCGCCATGGTCAGCAGTCGATGTGATTGACTCGAGGCTTCTTGGACTCTGGGAACGTTGAATTCGCCAAAAATACCATAAACGGGCCGGGTCATCGCATTATTGGCTGGTTGCTTTGACATTTTGATAGGCATCGACCTCGAAAAGCACGTGGAAATCCTCCGGGCTATTAATTTTTGTTTATAAGTCTAACGAACGGGGCTTCTGTGCTTGGACGATCATTATTCTCTGGATCCACAAACTGCTTTACAGTTCGAGGAGCCGAGAGAAATGTCTTTGCTCTGATCTCTTGTGCATTTTCAGACGCAATTTGCCACTTCAACTTCCAAATGTTGCCAAACTCAGACGATAAAATCAAGTAAAATGAAATTGCTCGTGGCTCTACTTCTGGAGGAATAATAAGTTATGTAGAGCGAGGCTATTTTTCCGCGTAGCTATAGGAAGCCTCTCGCCCTTCGATCGAACGTGGCTGGCTCTGCTTTTATAGATAGGTTCCTTTTCGCCTAAGAAGAGGACTTGCGTCTTCCTCTAGGCTGCACGTGACAGTCGATGCTGTGAGAGCATGCGCACCATGTCTGGAGACTTGCCGGTCTCACTGATATTGAGCTTGTAGTCCGATCCCACATGCTCATTGGCGACAATGCCCGAGAACCGCTGGAACAACTCGCAGATAGTTGCGTGGCCATTAGCCTCAGCGATCATCATGGCATCACTGTCGTTTTTGGTGCGTTTCTCCGGGTCAGCATCGTGCCGTAGCAAGTACTCGGAGATGGCTAATGAGCCCAATTTTGCTGCAAAGTGCAGTGGGGTGATGCCACTAGCGGTCATGACATTCACGTTCGCGCCATGCTCGACGAGCATCGCTACGATCTCGATATTTTCAGAGACTATAGCGGCGTGTAGAGGATAGGTGCCACGGTTGCTACAGACCGAAACCCTGGCGCCAGAGTCAAGGAGAAGCTTCACGACGTCGACGCATCCATTGCGACACGCAGCGATCAGCGGAGTGACACCGGCGTCGTTGGCTTTACTGACGTCGGCACCTTCGTCCAGCAAGAGTGCAACAACGTCTGTTCGACCAATTCGAGCTGCAATATGCAGACAAGAGGAGCCATCCGCCATGGCGGTGTTGGCATCCGCGTAGTTGAACAGAATGAGCTGCACGGCGTACGCGTGGCCGATTCGGCACGCCACGTACAGACAGATCTCCCAGCGACGCGTTGGGGAGAGGTCGGGCGAGTTCAGTTCATCGATGTCGCTTGCGAACTGACTCAGAACATGTTCACAGAACTCTTCCATGAACGAATGCATGGTGTGAACGCGCACAGGTTTCACCTGCAAAAATGGAAGTGTCACCAGTGCGTCGCTTAGAGAAAGCGTGGGATCCTCTTCAATTCGAGGTTCGGCTGCGCGAGGGGCGACGAGATGATCGCTGTCGTCGAGAGCGCTGTCGTTTTCCTCCTCGTCTTGACGAAGCATCTGATCAGCACATTGTTGCCTCCAGGCGTTCAAGACCAGAGGACGATGTAACGCGACCGATGCGTCGGCTTGGAAATGTTCGGTAACACCTAGGAAGTTCACATACGTCTTGAGCACCAAGCACTTGTCGTCCTGTAGCTTTTCATGTAGTACCGAACTGGCAAAATTGCTGAAGAATTCGTGTAAAATCGCCACAACGGCTGCCAGACCGTTACGGCGTTCGTTGACTGCAGAATGGTCCAGTCCTGTGAACTTTGAGCGAAGCGAGCGGCGCGACGGGAACGGGAACGACTGCAGTACCGGGTACAGTCCGTCAAATTCGCAGCGCGTTTCAGCGCAACGGCATTTGTGCGCCGAGCCGGGCGTCAGGTGGCGGTGACGTCTCGTGTGTTCGTTCACGTGCTTACGGAGTGTCTTCCACATGCGACGGAACTGCGAGTATGAGCGCAGCGTTGTGCATGTGACGTTGGATGAATGCGAAGTTGAGACTGGCGCTTGAGGGTCATTGTTCTGGGTAAGCTTGATAGCAAAGAGCACCTTGCCATCGGTGACTTGGTAGGAGGGCACAGCTACATCGTACTTGTCGATCCAGCTCATGGTCAAGTTCCTTTCACGAGAAAGTGTCGAGTTGGCGAGTGGGCTGGAGCTTTTTTGGTGGCTTCCGACGTGGGTGACGGAGACAAGTTTTTCGATAATCAGAAATGGATCGAAGTTTCTCGTAATAGATACCCCCGCTGACGGTAAATTTAACCACCAAGGAGGATTCTGCTTGTTGGGTTTTTTTTAGTACGAGTCGACTGCAAGCAGTGCGACTGCGTGGATCCTTTCTCCGTTTGGAAAAATGGGGATTGGCGTCGGCTGTGAGTCTCCGTTCGCATGGGCAAGCACAGCGGATCCATCGTCGTAATGTGGACCGAACATTTCGTGTCACACCCCTTGAAGTCTTTATCTGATGATCTACCAATCGTTAGGCGTCAAATCCTCTTTTTAGCCAATCGTCACACGGTCCTACCTTCACAACTGAACGCAAAAAAATACGCTGTAAAGTCGTACAGTACCGGCTCTAGCGAAACGATAAACTTGGCTGGCATTGAGCAGTGAAGCGGTCTCCGATGTTACTGCGGGGCACAAACCTGAGGTCATGGTGACAGGCCATCGCGACGCCACTGAGCGCGCCTGGCCGTGCAGTTTCACTCGACCATGGAACGACGTGCGCAATGGAGAAGACTACACTTCTGACTTTTCGTTCGAGCACCTTCGATGGTTCTAGATAAATTTGCAGCCGCAAGATCGCGACGGTCGCTGATAAGACTTTCGGTGATGAAACCTGCAACCCACACGCAGACCGTAACCCTGGAAGGTACGTACATCTTAGCGGAAAGTTTTGGCTCGGTACCAATTTGCAAAGGCTTTCGCGGATAAAACTACGGCTTAGGTGTAACATCGCAAACTCTTGACAGCCGATGGATTTTCGCAGCGTTCAACTCAAAGAGCTTTGCTAAGATGTCAAATGTAGGGTCAGCTGGGTAGATAAGCGTTGCCAGCGGAGTTGAGGTAGATCACAGCCGCAAGTTTAGTGGAGAGGCCAGCAAGTCTGTCCGATGCACCGTGTTGAGCTCCGGAGCCGTGAGCTGAGCCTGCAACATTTGCAGCGGGTCAAACTTCTTCTCGACAAGATGCTGGCGGTGCGCGCCCCACGGATGGTCGCAATTGCAAACCCACGGACTATAGGCCCAACCGGATTTTTAGATAAACAACAACCCGAATTGTAAAATCGGCTTGCAAAAAATTGCATCGACGTACGCACCTGTCAAATCCTTGACAGCCGCACTTGGGCCTTTTGCAGACAAATGGTTTGCTTCCCGGGTCGTGATTCGTGTGTCTATGTTTGCAGCGGCATCGTAGGATCCAGGCGCCTTCCGCCACAACATAGAAGAAAGCTCTGCACGAACACCTGGCTGATGTACAGGCGAAAGCACGGAACCCTTTTGGGGATTTCACTCGAGGGTCGCTGACACTACTCGGGTGCTCCTTGTATCGGTGTCCGCTGGGTATGTTATAAACAAAATAAGGAAGTTGCCAGTAAAGATCAAGCAGTTCTAATATATACCAAAGACATCGGCTTTCCTCGCGAACGGGGATACATTCGCGCTTGCATGTGTCACAAGACCACTGAATGACCATCTTGGTGTAGCTCTTCAACTTCATCGGAAACGGTGCCGGTGCGGTGCCGGCCAATGTCATAAGCTCGTTAGGCTGGTGCGCAATTGGTAACACGGCTTTTCCCTTTAGCTCGGCAAACTCCTGCCTCAGTTCCACCACTGAAATCTCGTCCTGCTTGCAACTCGCCTGGGTAGTTGAAGTATCATCAAGACATGATATCTTCGTGTCTTGAACCTTTCCACTGAACAAGTCCCTGGATGAACGCTTCACTTGCAATGCATGGTGACTTTGCTCAATCTGTCTTGCATCCATTTCTGGTTCTGTGGGGTAGTTTCCTTCCTCTTGTTGGTTTGAAGTTAAGCCCTCGCAAGTTGCGGATATGCAGTGGTTCACCTTTGACCGTCTTCTTCGCAGCTTGCTTTTCAGTAGTTGCAAGGACTGCGCTCGTGAAGCAGCATCCTGCTCCATCGTGATAGAAAAATGCGTCTCTTCAAGTGCACGGCCGTTTAGGATCTGACCGTACTCGCCCCAATGGGAAACTTGGTACTACGAGTATCCTGCTGCATCATTGCCTTGATTCCCACAACCGAAGCGCTCGCTTGCAATGCTGGAGCGTATTTTGATGGAGCCAAGTGTTTACCGTGTCCAGGAGGCACGTTTGGTGCCGTACCGGGCCTCGCCTCCTCGTCGTGCTCTGGGTTGTGCACCGCTGGGTTTTTCTGCCCAAAAGGGTCGACTTCATCTCGAGAAAAGCTTTGCGGTGCTTCTACCTTTTACTGTCCCTCGGGTAGTGCAGAACGGCATCCCGTGGATGAAGGATACTACACAGTCACTTTTCCTACCGATCAGTCTGACTTGCCTTCGAGTGCTGGAGAGCAAATACGCTGCGACAAAGGATACTATTGTGTGCTCGGGACCCGGAGAGCTTGCCCTGCCGGTGTGTTTGGAGAGTCAACAAGAGTCACTACGCCAGAATGTTCAGCTTCATGTCCCAAAGGCTCTTACTGCCCGGAAGCTACAGTCGTGCCAATCCCGTGTCCTCCTGGAACCTACGGTGGCGAAATTGGTCTAACGAGTGCTCAGTGCAGTGGCCTCTGTCCAATTGGTCACTACTGGTACGTTCAAAGGCTCGCTTTTGATCAGTACAAGCTAATTTTTTTCGCTGACTGCAGTACAATTGGGACGATCACTCCAGAGCCGTGTCCTTCAGGGACTTATGGGGCGACACCAGGTCTCATCAGCTCAGCGTGCTCAAGTACATGCTCTACAGTCAATAAAGTGCTATCGTGTCTTCCATCACCCTGTCCAGCAGGATACTACTGCGCGCTCGCGACTACAGTGCCACAAGAGTGTGGGTCAGTTGAGAAGTTTTGCCCTACAGGTTCGTCAGCGCCTACTACTGCTGCACCTGGCTACTATACCACTTGGAAAGCGTACACTGGGACATCCGTCACCGGCGAACAGCTAGCACTGCAGTACGTTGAAGGGAACTCGCTTGCCATTCGAAACCAAACAACAAGATCAAACCAACATATCTGCGAAAAAGGTTCGTATTGCAGTGGCGGTGTCAAAAGACTTTGCCCAGCAGGAACCTATGGCGCAACTGATGGCTTGTCGACGGCTACATGCACTGCTCTATGTCCTGCTGGCTTCTACTGGTAAGGAAAAATCAATGTTACCAGATTTCTATGATCGTCAGCTGACTATGCTTGCAGTCCGTCAGGCACAGCAGACTTTAGCCAGCACCCATGCACACTACGATCTTCCTTTTGTCGCCAAGGTTCTTCTGTACCAACCGCTGTCGACTCCGGGTACTTCACTGTAGCAACACAAACAGGACTTCGAAGCGACGAAACCATTTGTCCACCGGGAAGCTTTTGCGTCGGCGGGGTCCAGTATCTTTGTCCTGAAGGCACATTTGGAGCCACTTTCGGTCTTGCATCCAAAACGTGCTCCGGGGAATGTCAGGACGGATATGTCTGTCCACGAGGCTCAATAGCAGCACAGCAATCGCCGTGTCCGGCGGGGTCATACTCTCGAAATGGCAAGTTCTGTGCACCTTGCTCTCCCGGTTACTGGTGCGACGCTGGGTCCCCAGATCCTCAGCAACACGCATGCGGTGCTGACAACGCGTACTGTCCGCTTGGGTCGTCTTCAGCTCAACCTGTTCAGGATGGTTACTACGCGGTGGGACAGCAAGTCACTACACACACGTCGGAGGCGTTGTGTACACCTCGAAACGCTTTTCATCTTCCACAGTGTCCAACAAGAACAGTAGGAGTCAACGCTCACAACTAATCCGGACACTCTTTTCATTTCTAAAAACTTTTGAACGTGTGTTCCTGCGGTTTAATGCGCCACGTTGTGTACTGTTGTAGTTCCTGGATAAAAGCTTCAGACGGTTGTTCTTTCGACTTGGGCATCACAGCAATGTCAAACTCGGAGAGTTCTCCCATGTAGAACTGCTTGAGGTAGCGGAACGACTGGCGACTGGCGTGGTAGATCTCGAACATGACGGTCGAGTCCACATTCATAGCCTCCTGAGCGATTAACTCGGAGCCACCAGGGTGCTCTGGGATCCACCGCGTAATGTCCAATACCATGCCTTGCATGACAAGCCACACCTCGCCCGCTTCATTACGCCGAACGACTTCAGCCCAGCGAATCGCTTCGTTACGCACACGTGTCGCGAACTCGCCAAAGCGCCGTTGACAGACCTCCTGTAACCCGATACATCCCACCGTGATAGCAGCAGCTAGCAGATTGTCTGTGACTGAAGGATCGAAGTTGAATTCAGTGCCGTCATTGCGTGCTTCGTGCTCAAGATACAACAGCACACGGTCAAAGGTGCAGCAGTCCACGTCCACTTCGATTGTAGAGGATGCGTCTTTATGCACTCCCTTGCCTGATAGCACAGCCGACGACAGTTTGATGCAAGGGAACAGCAGTTTCTTCTTGACGGGGAATTCCTCCTCGTCGTTCGTGAGTACCGTGACGACATCTGAGCGCATCGACGCCAGACCAGCAGCATTTATTGGCGTGGCATTTAACAGCTCGAAAGCTGGAGATTGACCTCCTTCGGACGACACGAACACTTGAGCGTCTTCGTCCACACGACCGCGGTACGAGTCCGGCATGGTGAGCTCCGTCTCTTCCTCGTCTTCGGCATCGATTTCCAGTACGCGGACAAAGTAGAGCTGGCCATCTTTGTAAGGCATCACCAAGCGTTCGTGCTCGGTTAGTACTCGTTGCCATGTAAACTTGGCGAATGCTGCTGCAAAATCCTTGGCATCAGTCACAATCGGAACAGGTGCAAGAACCATTTTTTCGTCCTCATCACTATCCTCGTCGTCACTTGCCTCTAACATTGGGCGAATTTCAATTGCCACAGCATTGACAATGGGTATTCGTTCCGTAAAGAGCGTCCAATTTTCCGTTTGGAACCTGCACAACTCCAGGTTGATCATTTGCGGTTGTGACAGGGCAATAGAGCCACGAGGAATAGCCTCATGCGGCCGTACAGATACTACGAATTGGGCGTGTAGTCTAGGATGAAGTAGAGCTGCACCGTCGGTCCCTGTGGCCTCGGCGGGGAAGTCTTCTGGATGCACCAGAGCGCAATGACGCAATGATGTCAATTGCTCGTGGGCAATGTCCAGCTCGTCCAGCTCCTCGACACATAGTGAGCGCGTCCAAGCCGCGGCCGCATCCTTGGCACCTTGTTGCTGTTGCTTGAGACGGAGCGCCGCTGCCATGGCGGGCGCGCGGATCTCGCCCGCCGGGTTGTTGTTCGCGTTCCACGGCATCTTTTCTTCTGGTGGTCTTCTGTGTTTGTGTACGGCGACCACACAGATCTGCGACTTGTGCAATCGGATATGTACGTCGCCTTCAGCTCTACAGTACTGCAGTCAACCGAATAATCTTCGGGCGATAGAACAGCATCGACCTTCCTCATTACATGTACCTTAGAACGCGGACACACCTGTCCAGTACTATGCGTAGCTGACCTCGAACCGTGTTGCTCGGTACACGTGCAATACAGCATAGAGTCCATCAGGCTCATGTTTTAGTATGTACATGTTTCTTACAGCAAAGTTTATCCCCTTGGCTCGAGGCTTGAGATACTAAAGGCACAAGAGCGTGGACCGCAAGGAGGTCGAGGACTTCAAACGTGATACGTCAACTTTCCTTGCCTAGTTGGCAGCCAACCAACGGTTTAAAACCCGAGACGGAGCAGTGAGTGAGTCAGCCACCTATCTCTCTGATCTGTAGACGAGCACATATCCTCAGTTATATTAATACAGTACTGCACCGCGTTTTCGCGGGGGTGGATCATATTGAATTTGCAAATAAACTAGATTTTAGATGACAAACAAGTGTTCATTTGGATTCAGGATCATCACATCTGGAAGTTTATCAAAGGTCCAAGGGCGCGAAAACGGGGTGCAGTACTGTACGTCGTACGCACTCGTGTATGTGTGACAGATACATGAAATCCTGCATGTTTGCCACTTGCGAGGCATTTGCTTAGCGCTGGTCAGCATACTGAACTCAAGTCAAGCGTGGCGGTTGAAGTGCGCAAACGCTCATTCAGCACATCAATCGAGTTTCGCAGGGCGAAACGTGCGACTATTGATCCACTTCCGGATCTGTCAAAAGACTACTCCTTTCCATTCAATGCAGCGCCGCGTTCCCACGTCGCTCCTGCGCTGCATGCAGCAGCGCGGCATCTCGAGCTCGTCCAGCCGCCAATGGGACCAAGTGCGCCCGCATTTCCACGCCGGGGCGCACGGCAACCCGAAGCTAAACCTGCCGCAGACTGTGTCAATTATCGGCGCCCCCATGACGTGTACGTTTACAGCTTCTACGCACCACTCTAAAAGCAATACTAATTAGCAAATTGCTATCGGTATTTTACAGACGGCCAGCCACTGCTGGGCACGGACGGCGGTCCAGATCTATTGCGCGAGGCTGGATTACACAAGACTTTGGTAGACTTGGGCTGGTCTGTAGAGGAGAACGGTAACCTCAACTTCGTGGCGCCATCCTCTAACGATCCGACGCTCGACTCACGCTACGGCAAAGCCAAGCAGTGCTTTCCTGGTGAGTAGCATGGATACATTTTGGGTTGATAAACGTCCTGACATTTTAATTGTCATAGTTGGCAACGGCACGAAGCAGTTGTACGAGACTTTCAAGCAAAAAGCAGGGGAGGGCAAGTTCTGTTTGGTGTTGGGTGGTGACCACACTATTGGAGCTGGATCCCTTGCAGGATTGCTGTCTGTGCACCCTGACGCGGGCGTTATCTGGGTAGATGCCCACGCGGACATCAACACGCCGGCGGACTCGGAGTCTGGCAACATGCACGGTATGCCAATCGCCTTCCTCATGGACGGTATGGTGGACAGCTCCAAGATTCCAGGCTTCGAGTGGCTCAGTAATGGCCCCAAGATGAAGCCGGAGCAGCTCGTGTACGTCGGTCTGCGCGACGTCGACTCGTTCGAACGTCGCGTCATCCATGAGAAGGGAATTAAGGCGTTCTCTATGCAAGAAGTGGACCGCTACGGTATTGGCAAGACGATGGAGATGGCGCTGGACCATCTTTGTGGCAAGAAGCAGCGGCCTTTGCACATGAGCTACGATATCGACGCAGTGGACCCACTGGTGGCTCCCTCGACAGGCACACGTGTACGTGGTGGCCTTACGTGGCGTGAGGCTCATTACGTCGCTGAAGCTGTGGCGGAAACCAACTTGATGGTGGGTCTGGACATGGTCGAAGTGAACCCGACGCTGGCACCTGGCGATGGAGCTCAGATTACGGTCGACATGGCGCTCATGCTCATCTCGTCGGCGCTCGGAAACCGCATCTTGTAAGACAATTCTCAGTTTACATGGGTTCGTAGGTAAATTTCACACCTCGTTTAGCAATAACGAACCCAGACACGACCACAATATCATGAGCAAATTGCGTTCTACACTACCGCTTGCCTTTCTTCTTGGAGCCGAGCGCTATCCGTTAATGTCAAACACGACCACAATATCATGAGCAAATTGCGTCCTACACTACCGCTTGCCTTTCTTCTTGGAGCCGAGCGCTATCCGTTAATGTCAAACACATTACACCGTTCACGCTTAATTAGTCGTAGCTAGCAATTAATCGTAGATTTGCACTTAAGTGACATCACAAATTCGAGATATTTGATCAAATCTATATAAAAAGACCGGTTTTGAGTAAGTGAACGGCAGTTCACAGGTCCCCTCTTTGCTCAAAAGAGATAGAATGTAAACGGAGTATATTTATAGATAGATAAAGCTTGGGTTTAATACAAACTTTTAGTCACCTATATGTCGTCAACCCTTGGTTCTTTGTACCGAAGTATGACGTGTCACACTTCATGTAACCAGGGTACATTTAGGGCGACGTACCCCGTTACATCCTCCCCCACTTAGGTTCGGTTTACCGACCAATCAGAATGAAGAGGTGTTCGTCACAAACCTTCATTATCAAAGTCGAAAACCATCGACTTGGCCGCGGGAGCGTGGCGGAGGCTCACTTCACCGTTAGAGCCTCGAGCAGCAGTTTGTGCGCTCTTCTTCTAGGTCTCCACTTCGTTCGTTTACCATGCCTCGTGGCACTGCAAAGAGCGGTGCGAAGACACGCTCCAAGGCTGCTGCCGGGAAGGCGCAAGCCAAGAGCATTAAACCTCACGGCAAAGGCTCAGCACTTAAGAAGGCTACTCAGGTGGCCTCCGAGGCGATCGGCTCATCGGGCGATAAGGTTGTGGGCAAGCGAACCAGCAAGCGCCGCAGTCCGTCGCCCTTGGCCTCTCCAGACAATCGTCCGAACCCTCGGTTCGTAGAACGTGAGCTCGACTCTGGCAGTGAGGACGAAGCCGAGTCCGAGAGCACGCACGATGCTCCTGCGGGCTCTGTGGAAGAGCACAGCCCAGTGCCCAGTTAGCACAAGGACGACAGCGTGCAGTCGCTCGCAAGTGATCAAGGTGATCACAGTCCCAGGACGTCTGTGCGCTCTTAGAGTCCGACCGTCAAGGCTAAGGGCACTCCCAAAGCTGGTGGCGATGAGGAAGAGAATCCTCGCAAACGTTTCCGCTTGCCGGGTCTTGCGCGTGCTAAGGCCTCTAAAGCCGAAGGCGCCAAGCCCTCAAATAAGCATACAGCCTCTAAGTCTCCACTCCGCGAGGAGAAGGAGACTCGGCACACCCATCGGGGCATCTTCGACTCCTCGGATGAAGAGGAGGAGGAGGAGGAAGAAGAAGGGGAGGAGGGTGCTATCTCTGAACCCCGGGAGGTCACGAATGACCTCGACCAGCAGCAGGAGGATTGCCAAGCTGCCCAGCGTGTGCGTGGGGGTTCGGTGGTGGCACCCGTCAGCCAGGGAGCTGCCATCAACTCAAGAGAGTATTGGCCTCCCGAGGAGAGCTCTGGGGATGACCTCTTCTTAGAGCTTCTCGTCGCTCCTCGTGGCCTTGTGGGCGGTCACACTTCTAGGGGCATTTACGAACGTGACCTTGTTCAGAAAGAACAGTTGTTCGCTGAAAACTTGGAGGCTGCTCGGTGTGTGCTTCTCGCGCCACACCGCATCCCCCTTAAGGACTTCACGACGTGTCGTAAGAAGCCCGAGACCCGAGGTGGTCTCGATCCTCTTTGATGATACCCATGGGTTATACCCGAGAACTGTCCCACCTGGAGTTCTTGTGAGGACATGTTCTGGGCATGGGTGGAGTCTCTTAAGTACTCACCCACGGAGTTAAGTTAACTCCATGAAGATCTGCTGCTGTCCCGCATCGTAGACCAGCGTGATCTTCGTGTTCGGTTTGCCCACTGGGTCAGCAAGCGCATGCTGCCAAGGGACACCCTGAAGCGTGCGGCTTCCAGCGCTCACGATGAGCACAGGGAACGGAGTGTATTCATCGTCCGTACCCCGTTCGGGCAAGAAGCCCCGGACTACTTATGAAGCTGCCGCCGCTTCTGCTCCCAGATTGCGACAGCCTTCGGGCAGTCCATCAGGAGCCGTTCAATCTGCTCCCACGAGCTCTCGAAGTGGGCATTACCCCTCCACTTCACGAGGAGCTGTCGCTTACCGCGACGCCGTTGCTCCTGGAGGATCCGCTCCACGTGGAAATGGACTTCTCCATTCCGGTCGAGCAGGGGCGGTGGTTCCCTCGTACGAGTACGAGTACTCGGCGCCTCCCGCAAGCCACTCTCGTCCGAGTGCTCCGGCGGCGGGTCCGACAAAGGGCCCTGAGGTTGACCGCCTCCGTCAGCGTGTTCTCGTGCTTGAGATTGCACTTGGCCTTGGGACTGGCGGTGATGCTGCCGCCCAGGCCGGGAATCAGGGCGAGCTCGCTCGTCTTGCGGGCCGCCTGGACCTGTTGGAGCGTGAGGTCGCGATCCTGCATCTTGCGGGTGGATCGACGGGCCTCTTCGACCGATCTGGACGAGGCCTTGCGCATGATCCGACGGATCGAGGCTCTGTTGCCACGTCCGGAGCCGCCTTCGGCACACTCCTAGACGTACGCGTATGGTGCGTACCCGGCGTACTCAGCGTACTCGGCGTATGGCTCCGGGGTCCATTCGTACGGGGCCCCTCCGGCGTACGGTCTTGACCGCAGCCTTGCCGTTCCGACCGAGGCTTGGGTGCCTGCTCCGACGCCCTCGTCGACGTCTGTGACCTGCCCTCGTTTCAAGGAGCTGGGTCAAGGTGGGTCTGCGAGTCAGCAACCCCCTGCGGCTCAAAGTACCGCTGAAGACGTCCAACATAGAACGTCGGGTGCGTCGTCATTGACTTTGGCAGGTCGATGGTGTACGACGCACCATGTCTGGCCAGGACTGCAAATGGTCCGATGAAGCGGTGCTTCAGCTTGTTGCTGCCGACAGAGCTGACAGTGTCAAGAGGTAGGTTCCTCGTGTCTAGTAACACTAAGCCCCCCACTTTAAATACACTTAAGTTTCCTCTTCCATGTTTGTCGAAGTTTTCCTTTGGTCTATCCTGGGCCGCTGTCATGGCATCGCGGACCCTGCTGACAATGCTCAGCTTGGTATCCATAAATGATTCCATTTGTTTCCGCAGAGAAACCGGTCTCACATCCGAGACCTGGGAGGAAAGGGCTTTTCGAGCCTCTCTCCCACTTAGAATTGAGGAGTCAGTGTCTCCTCGAAGCGTGAGAGGCACGCTGGGGTGACGGAAACCGTTCAAGTAGAACGGCGTGAGCCCCGTGGACGCGTGCACCGCGTTGCTGAGCGCAAACTCAACAACTGGAAACTGCGTCGACCACGTACGTGGCGCTGCCGCGCACACATGTCTTCAAGCACTCGGTTGACGCGCTCTGTCTGGCCATCTGTCTGTGGATGGTCCGCAGTGGACATCTGCAGACGAAATCCCAGTAAATATAACAGCGTTTTCCAAAACGCAGCCGCGAACCACGGGTCTCGGTGCGAGACAATCGTCTCCGGGAGACCGTGACAGCGGAACACCCTATCGACGAGAAACCTTGCGGTTTGTCGCCCGTAACAGTGACGGCGACCGGAGCAAGATGTACCATCTTGCTCAGTCGACACACGAACACCAAAGTTCCGGTGTTGCCGTGTCCGTCGGCGGGAAGCCCAAAGATGAAGTCAAGACTCATCGACTTCCAACAGTCAGCTGGTACGGGCAGGCTCTGTAGTGGAGCCGAAGAGTGCCCTGCGGGTTTGACCCGGTGACATGTTTCACATGTCTTAATGTATCGGGCGACCCACTTGTACATGTGGGTCCACCAGAAGGCCTGAGAGACCGACAGAAAGGTCTTCTCGCGGCCCAAGTGGCCGCTGGAGGGCGCGTCGTGCGCCTCCGCGAGGATATCGAGCTTCAGATCCTCGTCGTTGGGTACGATTACCCGTGGAGGTTCATTGGGCTCCACCCGGTAATAGAGGAGGCCATTCTTCAACTCATATCGGTAGAGCCGTGAGCGCTGTCGCGACGAGAGCCAGTCGGACTTCGCGCTCGCTCCTGCCTTAAGGAACTTGACGATAGGCGCGACAGCCTCATCGTTCCGATACGCCATGCGTATCCGATCATATAGATCCGTTGTCACCCGTGTGATGTGGGCCAACTTATAGTCAGGACGCCGAGAGAGGCGCCCGCAAGCACGTTGAGCTTGCCCGGCTTGTATTCGACGCGGAAGCTGTACTCCGCGAAAAAGGACAGCCACCTCGCCATCCTTTGGGAGAGGGGAGGCGAGTTAGTCGCCGTCCTCAAGAGAGCGTGGTCTGTGTAGATCACGAAGGGCCTGGAGCCCAGAAGGTGAGCACGAAACTTCACAAGGGCATATTTCATTGCCAGGAGCTCCTTGTCGTAGACAGGGAAGTTCCGCTCGGCGGGTTTAGGCTGCCTGGACTGAAACGAGATGACTCGTTCATGTCCAGCCGTGTCGGCCTGCAGCAATGCACACCCGATGGCGTAATCGGAGGCATCGCAGACGTCGCTAAACAACTTTGTCTCGTCCGGCAGGGCCAGGACAGGGACCTCTTGGAGACTGGGCTTGATGCTGTCAAAAGCATCCTGGTGCTCTTGCTCCCAGCGCCAGTCGACGTCCTTCTGAAGGAGGCCCAACAAGGGCTTAGCGAAACCCGCGTACTCTGGGCTGTACTTGTGAAGGTAGTTGGTCAAGCCCAACCACTTTCGAAGATCCTTTTGGGATCGGGGCGTCGGCCATGCTGCTATGGCCTTGACCTTGTCTGGGTCAGCCCGAACGCCCACGTTACTTACGAAGCAACCGAGAACTTTAATCTCTGGTGACGCAAAAACGCACCTGTCGATGTTGGCGGAGAGCTTGTTCGCTCGCATTACGTCCAACACTCGACGGAGGTGCCCCAGATGCACCTCCATGGCCGTCTTGCCTCCCTCGGCACGGCTATGGACGAATATGTCGTCGAAGTACATCTGTACGAAGGTACGCAAAGGGCGGAACAATTG